TCGGTCCTAAGCCTGAAGTAAACAAACACAACTGCAATAAGGTTAGTTATCCGGATATCCCGGTTGGGATCTGCCAGACTCTGAGCTGGCCTAGTAAGCCAATTCGCGTAGAGGTCGATCGAAGAGAACGCTCCTTCGGAAAGACCTAGGGCGAGGAAGACTCGAACGCGAAGGTAAGTCGTCCTGAAGACGAGATAGGGGACGGCTCTCCACCAGGACTCCCACTGGGCTCGACCCACCCGATTGCAGCGAGTCGGTCCGTGTTTGAAGGCCAGGTCTTGAGGGGTCCAGCAGTCAAAGCAGCAAGCTGCGTATTGAGCTCGGAGCTTAAGCGTGAACCCCTTCTTGAACTCGCTGTCCTTGTCTAACAGACCCGCGGTGCATCTCCAGAGCTCGGAATGGTTAGAGGATAGCCCTCCAGTCATAACGACGTGGAAGGCACACCCTCGGATGACAGAACCCATAACGTCGTTGAGCCATGTGAAAATCGCCGTCGAGGATGGGTAACCCTCGAAGATTACCGCTGTGTCGAGGTTAAGGGAAACGACAGCAAGAGAAGCAGTCGGAGCAGGGGCAGGGAGAGAGGTTGGAGGGACGATAGCAGGCAGAGACGAAGGCTGAGCAGTGGTAGGAGGGGCGTCGGAAACGAGAGTGCTTGAGGAGGAAGGAGAAGGCAGAGAGGAAGAGCTAGGAGACGGAGAGAGAGGAGGACTACTTGGAGGGGTGGGTTCATCTAAATCGACTAACCCACTCGTAGCACCGCCTGCCTGAGCAGCTCTAGCGATTCGTGTAACCTGACGAAGTTTCTTTCTTATGGCGGCGCTTTCTTGGATGAGGAAGGAAGAGGAGGAGGAGGCCGAGCTCGAGGGCGGTAGATCTTGAATTGAGGAGGCGGCGAGCCGTTTCCGCTTCCTGACTGCAAAAAAGTCCTTGATGAGCTTGGAAGGAGTTCGAGGACCCGCATCCTCGAGAACGTCCGCCTTGCGAGAACGCTCCGCCTTGGAAAGAGCAGGACCCTAATGAATAAGATGAATATTAAGCATAAGAGATTTTAAATGAGCCATACCTGATCTACGTGCGCAGCGAGGTAATGGGCCCAGATCCCACCCAGATTACCTTCCCTGTAGCAGTCAGGGCACCTGTACACTCCTGCTTCAACCCTAAGCACCTCATGGACCTCCCCTAAAACAACGGTCACCTAAAGCTAAGAGAGTTAACGAAAACGCGTACCTGCAATAAGCATCTGAACTGTTCTGGAATTTTCGTCGTCGTCGTCGTGGATTTGGACGTGTTCTCTAATAACCGCCGGGACACGCGACGTGTAGGTACAGAAAGGACTAGCATATATTGATAAGTAAGAAGTAAGAAATATAAAGATAACAAAACGTACCATTCAACCAGTGGGTTCATGGCTAAGGACGGCGACGAGAAGCTAAAGTTAGCGAGGGATGGTCGAGGTTGGGGAAAGAGAGATAAAATGTCAATTCGTGTCTCAGAACCCTCTTATATATGGCACAAATTCGACGCTCGGACCACCGCGTTTGACAGGAAATAAATTTGCCTATTTAGTACATCCTCTTTCCTAATCGAGATTCTTAAAAAGGTCGGAGTAGGTATTAAGGAAAACTACTGGATTGGGAACGACGGAAGGGTCAGTAACTGGCTCGTGTAGCCAATCAGCCAATTCCCCAACATCGTCCCACCTTTTACCTAAGAACTCCGCAATTCTGTGCAAATAGACCCGTTCTCCCCCAATTTCGAATGTAAAAATTAGCGCGATTAGAGAGGGAAGAGCAGCGATAAGATCCCCTGTAATTCCATCATTAACGAGATGAATGCAGCGCCCTGGGTCGAGGATTTCGTAGGGAGTAGTGGGAGGATGGTGGCAAGGAGATCGAAAGGGAATCCAGCAATTATAGCAAAATGGCCAAAAATCTGTAGAATGCATTTGAATTTGTAGGAGCGTTCCTAGAATACTGTCGAATGCCCAATGTCGTTTGTGAGTGGTGGAAGGACCGTGAAAGTTACTCTCAACCCAGCAGTCCAGACAGCCGTGTCTGACAACCGACTCGAGGATTTTGGTGAACTTGATAAGTTGCTGAGTCCCAGCATCGTAGCTCGCGTTGAGGATAGCGGCGTTGGATTCGGCAGTAGAGGGACCGGAAGTGGAAGTGGAGGTAGGGGTTTCAGTGACGAAAGTTTTGTCGAATCTGGGGAGATCCAACGTGGTGAATTCATATGGAACCTAGAATCAATTGTAAGGTCGCGAAAGTAACTCGAGTAATTGTAACCCACCTCCTGAAGCTTCTCGCAGTTGGAACACAGCTCCCCGTTTAGGGCTATACAGGAATGTGTAATGCGGTCGAAACAAGCAAACGCCATGCGAAGACAGTGGACGGTTTGAAGGAAGAGAATCATATCACCCCTACCGCTGTGATCCACTTCGTTGTGGTCGGCAAGAGGTGGTGGAAGTTTCGAAAAGTAACAATGACATACGGCAGGAAGACCGTCCCGACCTGAACGAGAAGTTTCTTGAAAGTAGTCCAATAAATCCATAGGATCCAAATGAATTACCCGTCGAACGTGAGGATAATCCACGCCCTGTCCGAAAGCTTGCGTCGCGACAATCCAGAGATCTCGAGGATTGGCCCGTTTACGCCATCGATTCTCCGCCTCTTTCCTCTCCTCAGTGCTCATCCCTCCAAGATATTTCGGAACGTCAAGTGCTTCTGATATTAAATCAGCATCCTTACGAGTTCGTGTAAAGATAATCCCCCGGTCCTCCGGTCCCATTCTTAAAGTTTCTGCCTGAACAAAATCCAATATCTTTTGGATAGCTTCCTCCTCGTCGACCTTTTCCACTATATATTTGAGATTAGGACGGCCAGAGTACCTTCGAATCTCATCGACCAAGGCAGGGTCTTTGATACCCATGGTATCTAAGATCTTGGGCATGGATTTGGGCATTAAGGAGCCGGATAGGAAGGTGATTGGAACGGAAGAACGTGTAAGGTAAGAAAAGCGCCTGAAGCAAGATCTGAATTTGTCATCGGTGGCGATTTTGTGAGCTTCATCGACGAAAATTCGTTTGAGGCGAAGTTTGACACCATGGCTGGTTAACCACCCATGGAATTCGTCGGTGCCAGCCTTGTGAGCTGACACTAATATCAGCTGCGCTATATGGATGTCAATAAGATCCTCGTTCCAAACGCCCCCGTTGATTCCAGTTTCAAGGAGACGACGCCGAAGATCCTGGGTGAGGGCGACTAGCGGGCTGACGACGACGAAGAGGTGGCGAGGGAAAAGGAAAGGTGCTCCAAAAAAAGCAAGACTCTTACCCCCCCCAGTTTCGATTATACCGAAAACATGAAGGGAGCTACCCACACTATTTACCAATTCAGCTTGTTCGGCACTAGTAAACCCTAATAACGGATTGTATTTCCGACGTAAAACAGCCTTAAGAGCCTGGCGGGCTGCAGGATGGACGGATGGACGATGAGGGTTATGATAGGAAGGAATTTCTTTGGAATTGCTGATCTGCGCGAGAAGTTGTATCCCCATAGTTTCGATTTCACTTCGAATAAAGGTGCGAGTGCGCTGTTCAAACCCGTCGAAACGCTCAGATATCTCTCTAACGAGAGATTGGAAGTGAGAGGAGATTAAAGCGTTGGAATTGCTTGAGTTGGTCATGACTGCCTGTATGTAATATTGAGGATACCACCGAGGACAGAATAAGGACAACCAACGCACCTGGGGTTCTCTACTAAGCTTAACTTCGAGGAGTGGATGTAACAAGTTGAGGAAGACCTGCCACTTCAGGCACACCTGTTGCATGTGAGCAACAGCGTCTGCGGCGAGCCCGGTTGTGCTAGTGGAATCCAACCCATAGTTTGAACGGCCCATGTCGAGAGAGTGTCCGAACGATTCGTGTGCAGCTACGACGTTTGGGTCTTCATCGTTCGGATTGAAAAAGCTCGTCGAAGTTGACGAAATGAGCATACAGGCCATAAGTTGCCTAAAGTCTTGCAGCTTGAGGTCGACGCCAAGATTTACGCCATTTAGAGAGCCGAGGACCTTCGAAAAGTCCTTGCTCTCCATTGGCTTCCCGGTAACCACAAATACCTCATAGAAGTACCGTTGACAGTTCGCTTTCTCCATCCCTACCCGGCAGCCAATAAATCCAGCAGCCCAATACACAACGCCCAGTACGAGGATAAGGAGTCGGTTTACGTGGAAGGCGGGGCTGCGAGCAATAAGTTTTCCAGCTCCAGTAAGTGACTGGGTTTTCTGATATTCGGTGACAATGGTGAGGAGTCCGTTGATTACGAATACGTTGCGGGTGTTCCGTGGGTTGTTTGCGTACAGGAGCCGTTCGATTTCTGTACCTCGAGAACCTCCGCCCCAAGTCGTACTGATCAAATAGTAGAGTTTCCGTACTACTTCATCCAACTCACTGAACCAAGCCAGGATGGCCCCTAAGACAGCTGTGAGTGAATGCAAGGTTAACGAGAAGGCTAACGCTCACCGTTCTTGGGAATTGTCCGGTCACCAACTGTGGTAAAGAATTTTGGGTCTCTTGAAAGATGGTCCAGAAGACGAGGCCGGAACTCCTCAAACCCATTCTCCCTCTCCTCAAAAAATGAATAACGTATATCGCTGTTCCCTGGACGATCTCTGAACCACATTGGTTGACCCGTCTGATGAGGGACCATAGCTTCGTCAATATGCTTGAGAATGTCAACATAGGGACAGCCTCGAAAGACCCGTTCAATTGATAATTTGACGTCTTTGAGGGTACGATGAACGCCGTCTACGAAGGATGATACTGGAATTGGAAAGCCATCTATAGAGATGACAGATCGCTCGATGTTCCAGTTGAAGCGAGCGAGTCCTTGTTGACGAGTCGCAATAGCCCTGAAAAGATTCATATTTTGCCGGAGGGTGGTGAAGAGGACAGAGTGAGTGTCAATGATGAACCTTTGAACAGAGCTGGTATAAGCCCTACATGAAGTTCGTTTCATAATTAAGAATACCATTCAGCAAGGCAATCACTCACATCATAGGATCCCCGTTGAATTGATCCTGTATTCGAAGGATTTGCTCTGCAGCGGTTGCTCTAAAGCACCACTGAGGCTGAGCTATGATGGGAGGAATGACAGATGCCCTAACGAAGGCACCTGAGTCCTTGAGGTTGACGGCAATCAGAAATCGCGTGAATGGGCACATAAGCTCATTGCGGATGTATTCGTCGCTCGGGCGTGACAAAATCATCCAAACGGACTCGTGGAAGGTGTCCTTGAGGTGCGATATCGTGCTATTTTCATCTTCGAGTTCTTTGGTGAAGGTTTTCAACTGTGTTCTGAGCGAGGAATGGAGGGGGACAGGAAACGAATCGACAGGAGTTTTGTTGGTGGTAATGAGGAAAGCGACGAATTGAGCGGTCCGATGCGCATCTTCGATGACGGTTTTGAGCTCCTGGGGACGCCGGAAGGGTTTGTGCTTGAGGTCACTAGGAAAGCGTAAATAACAAGCAGGTAACATGAAAATATATGGCGTACTTTGGATTACTGGAAGCGATATACCTTCGTACAAGTATTGGAAGGTTTGGAAGCTTCTTGCTAACCTCTTCGTAATACTCCCTCGCTACCGCCCGAAGTCGTTCAAACGATTGAAACGAATGTCTCTCGGGAGTGGAAATTGATTGCCTAAGATGTGTGATATTGACGCCCTCGAGTAACTGATCCCAGCGGGTCTGGGCAAAAACCGCGTTTTTTTCACGTTCATTTGACGTTACTGAGAATATATCGGAGTGTTCGAGGAGTTTGCAAGAGTCGGCGGCTTGTTCTATTGAACGCAAGACCAAAGATTTGTATTGAGGTTCCGGGACTACTTCGACGTAGCGCAGATCCTTGCGGAAAACGGAGAGAGGTTGACACGGAACTCGGACTGATTTACGGTCGCCAGGCTGTACGTTGGTGTGGACCTCGAGCTGATGCCTTCTGAGTGACCTTGAAGAACCAAACACGGCGTTGACACAGCCTAGAACCGCACACTTGAATCCGTCAGCGATTTCGATGCCTTGAATACGAGAAATAGGGTGTTGTGGTACGGGCCTCGGTTGGTCAGCACCGAGGAGGACCAGGCATTGTCGAAGTTCATATTTGCTAGGAAGGCGAAGCTCTGACGGAAGGACGAGACCTTTGTAATGTTTCTCCCATTGGTGGCTTCGTACGTGGGCGAATAGAGTTGGCTTGTTGCACTCTGTGCAGATAGTAAGTCGATATGCGGGTTCGACAATAATGTTGAAGCGAGCAAGGTAGTTGAGAGCTTGCTGTTCGGATTTCGGGATCTCCGCGTCGACCAAGGCCAGGTCATCATCTGCGTGAAGTCCTTCCATATCGTTTTCTCCGTTTGTGCTTTCTGGTGGTTCGTCTTCATATTCGGAGCCCTTGTCACTACCCTGGTCATCTGCATATATCGAAATTGAGCCATAACTTGAGCAAATGGGTAGGACAGTGGACGTACCCTCAGAAGCGCCACCTGCACTAGTGAAATCGTCACCAACACCTCCACGTTCCTCCTCATCTTCACCCCCGTCTACTTTCTCGAAAACATCTTCGCTCATTAGATCACCCGCTCTCTCAGGCGCATCACCCTCCTCCATCTCAACATCCTTCTCATCTTCGACGTCGCACGCCAGCAAACTTGCCGAAGTCGATAGCGTCGAGGGATCCGAGTGAGACGTTGACGCAAGCGAAGCGGCTACTGTTGCCAGCGAGACCGAGAGGGAGGAAGTGGTGGGAAGTGATGACAAGGATGTTGGTGAGGTATTCGAACCTGCGATGTCGTGGTCTGGATGAGGAGATTCATCAGGCAGAGGATGTTGAGGTAGACGTGTTAATGCAGTGAGTTTCTTGAAGCTGTAACGAGCATGCCGCTCTGAGCCACATGGACAGGGCAGTTTGCCTTCTGGTTGACGAGATACCTTGACTTTTATGCCTAAGATTTTCTATATGAGGCTATTAGACAAAACAAAGTCATCGCTGTTACGCACCATTATACAGAAGCTTATGCTCAGTCGAGTGATATTCCTTCCGATGACTCTCTGTATTGGATCCGACGAACGGATATTGGCACGTCGTTTGGTCACACAAGCTTCGTTATGATCAGATACTATGCAGTCAATGAAACTTACGCGTTGAGTTACTAACCTTTTCGGCATAACGATTGCTTAGATTCTCCTCAGTTGGCAAAAGACAAAGGGAGCTAATACACAAATCATCAACCTTACGCAAAGGATTGACCGAGATATGAGATACTTACCTTCTGGGACAATGGCGCGTCGACTTGCGGTGGTTGAAACGAAACAGTTAAATAAGCGCCCAAACGTCCGGCGGAACATTTCGCTTGAGTGACCCTCGGACCGTTGAATTGAGTGGTGAGCGCACATTAATTCAATTAACGAATATCTGGCATTGAAAGTAGGCTATACATGAACATTTCGGCTGATTACATTAGTCTTTAATAGGATTGTTTGGAAAGATTCTGATTGAAATAGGAGGACTAGTGATTTCAGGTACATGGAGGAAAGGTCAGTCAATGGCACGGGACATGCCTGGATCCTGGTGGCTACAAGTGTACATATATGTGCTCTAGGTATATTGGGATCATGTAGAGGATGTGGATTGTTTATTACAACAATAGGCCTGAGGATTCTGGATGTGCAAGTTGGTGAAGTGAAATAATTGAACAGGTGGGAAAGATCAGGCAATTGTGAGATCACCAATGAAGCGATAGATAAATGGTTGATGGATCCATCATTCTGGGTGTCCTGGGGTGCATATTGACCACTGACACTTGATACGATATGTAGCGGATCTGGGGATTCTGGGCTGCAAGTATTGAGAAGTGCGGGAAATAACCAGCCAGAATCGCCGCGCTCTAGAGAGCCAACGATGATGACTAATGATGCATGTTAGGATAGAATCCTATAGATGGGAAGCCAAGGAACATATTATTCCAAGGAATCGAGTAAATTGGACAAGTGGATCCAAGGATTCTGGTGAAACAGTTTTGAGGTGGCCATTTTAGGATAGACCGGCTCCCATATTATTAGAGGTAAATGAGAATTTAGAACATGACCTGCCTTTCCACCAGAACTGCCTTTCCATAGATCCAAAGGTGTGAAAAGAGGTTTTTGCTATGGATGGGAGCTCAAAATGATATCAATATTGACCAAACCAGTGAAAACGAGACATAAACAGAGGTTTTGGAGTGATTTAGGAAGACTGGGTTTCCGGCTGGTTTGCCTTTCCATGAGAAAAAGGGCATGAAAGGCCCAAAACGCTAAGGGAAAGGGCATGCCCTTTCCGGGTGTAATATAGTTAGGGTTTTCGACTTTGCCACTGATTTAATGCATATGCAACTGTGGTCAGTAATGCAAATGGGTTGTGTCGATGTAGGCCACATCTCCAATGCATGTATCAGCACTCGAAAGAATTTCGGGGCTTTCGACTTTGCCGTTGATCTAATGCGGGTCATATCGATGTAGGCCACATATCTGCACATACTGAGTTGGAGTCAATTTAATCAATTGCCATAAGATCTAGGCAGCTAACAACACTATAATTGCAATATAGACAATATTCGCCCATGGCATGCACCTCAGGCCCATATACACAAGTATATAAAATGGTCATAGTGTTGAGAACTGCAACGTAATAACATTATCTTCTTCATTGTCAGGAGTAGATCAAGGCTGTAGTAGGCCAGTCAATAATTGACTTGTGTATCAGCACTCGGATAATTTTCGGGGCTTTCGACTTTGCTGTTGATCGAATGCACATGCATGTATAGTCAGTGGTGTAGGTGGGTCATATCCAATGTGTACAAGCACTCGGATTGATTTACGGAGTATTGGATAGGGAAATAGCTGCGCATACAGAGTTGGAGTCAATTTAATCAATTACCATAAGATCTAGGCATCTAACAATGCTATAATTGCAATATAAACAATATCCGCCCATGGCATGCACCTCAGGCCCATATGCACAAGTATATAAAGTGGTCATAATGTTGAGAAATGCAATGTAATAACATTCCTCAATGCTAAGCAATAATCTTCTTCATTGTCAGGAGCAGATCAAGGCTGTGGTAGGCCACATGTCCAATGCATATAACACATCATTGTCAATAATTGACTTGTGTATCAGCACTCGGATGAAGTTCGGGGCTTTTGACTTTGCCATTGATCCAATGCACGTGCATGTATAGTCAGTGATGCAAATGGATTATATCGATGTAGTCCACATATGAAATGCATGCAACCCATCATTGTCAACAATCAACCAGTATACAAGCACTCGAATCAATTTCCGAGCTGTTGATAGGCAAGACACTGCACATCACAGCGCATAACGACTTGGAGTCAATTTGATTAATTATCATAAGATATATCCTTTGAACAAAGCTACAATTGCAATATAGACAATATTTACCCATGGCATGCACCTCAGTCCCCTGTGCACAACTATACAGAGTGGTCATGGTATTGAGAACTGTAAAATAATCACATTCCCCAATGTTAAGCAATGATCTTCTTCATTGTCAGGAGTAACTCAATGCTGTGGCGGTCTACATCTCCAATGCATACAACTTGTATATCAGCACTTGAATAAATTTCGGAGTTTTTGACTTTACCACGGATTTAATGCATGTGCAACAATGGTCAGTGATACAATTAGGTTGTGTCAATGTAGAGCACATCTCCAATGCATACAATACATCATTGTCAACAATCGACTTGTGTATTGGCACTCGAACGTATTTCGGGGCTTTCGACTTTGCCGTTGATCCAATGCATGTGCATGTATAGTCAGTGGTGCAGGTGGGTCATATCAATGTAGGCCATATATCCAATGCATACAACACAATCAACCAGAGTACAAGCACTCGCATCAATTTCTGATTTTGTAATAAGCAGTTGTTTAACATGTCACAGGCCTTGAGAATGGTTCTGGATTGGATATGAAATTGAGTCAGAATGCATATCAAAATCAACAATGAGGGCTTTCAAGGCAACATGCAGTCGGAAAGGGAGGTCATTGAGAATTTAGAATAGACTGGACCACCGGAAAGGGAGGTAAATGGGAATTTTGAACATGACCTGCCTTTCCAGTGATATTGTTGTTCAAAATCTCAAAAGCCTTCCAAAAGAGACCTGAATTAAGAAAATATGAAGGATTGGATATGAAATGGAGTCAGAACGCATATCAAAATCAACAATGAGGGCTTTCAAGGCAATATACAGTCGGAAAGGGAGGTAAATGAGAATTTAGAACAGAGGATACAGCCGGAAAGGGAGGTAAATGGGAATTTTGAACATGACCTGCCTTTCCAGTGATATTGTGGTTCAAATCCTCAAAAGCCTGCCAAAATTGACATAAATTAACAAAATAAGGAGGATTGGATATGAAATTGAGTTACAATGCATATCAAAATGGAGAATGAGGGCTTTCAAGGCAATATACAGCCGGAAAGGGAGGTAAATGAGAATTTAGAACATGACCTGCCTTTCCACCAGGACTGCCTTTCCATAGATCCAAAGGTGTGAAAAGAGGTTTTTGCTATGGATGGGAGCTCAAAATGATATCAATATTGACCAAACCAGTGAAAACGAGACATAAACAGAGGTTTTGGAGTGATTTAGGAAGACTGGGTTTCCGGCTGGTTTGCCTTTCCATGAGAAAAAGGGCATGAAAGGCCCAAAACGCTAAGGGAAAGGGCATGCCCTTTCCGGGTGTAATATAGTTAGGCCAGTCAATAATTGACTTGTGTATCAGCACTCGGATGAAGTTCGGGGCTTTTGACTTTGCCATTGATCCAATGCACGTGCATGTATAGTCAGTGATGCAAATGGATTATATCGATGTAGTCCACATATGAAATGCATGCAACCCATCATTGTCAACAATCAACCAGTATACAAGTACTCGAATCAATTTCTGAGCTGTTGATAGGAAAGACACTGCACATCACAGCGCATACAGACTTGGAGTCAATTTGATTAATTATCATAAGATATATCCTTTGAACAAAGCTACAATTGCAATATAGACAATATTTACCCATGGCATGCACCTCAGTCCCCTGTGCACAACTATACAGAGTGGTCATGATATTGAGAACTGTAAAATAATCACATTCCCCAATGTTAAGCAATGATCTTCTTCATTGTCAGGAGTAACTCAATGCTGTGGCGGTCTACATCTCCAATGCATACAACTTGTATATCAGCACTTGAATAAATTTCGGAGTTTTTGACTTTACCACGGATTTAATGCATGTGCAACAATGGTCAGTGATACAATTAGGTTGTGTCGATGTAGGGCACATCTCCAATGCATACAATACATCATTGTCAACAATCGACTTGTGTATTGGCACTCGAACGTATTTCGGGGCTTTCGACTTTGCCGTTGATCCAATGCATGTGCATGTATAGTCAGTGGTGCAGGTGGGTCATATCAATGTAGGCCATATATCCAATGCGTACAACACAATCAACCAGAGTACAAGCACTCGCATCAATTTCCGATTTTGTAATAAGCAGTTGTTTAACATGTCACAGGCCTTGAGAATGGTTCTGGATTGGATATGAAATTGAGTCAGAATGCATATCAAAATCAACAATGAGGGCTTTCAATGCAACATGCAGTCGGAAAGGGAGGTCATTGAGAATTTAGAATAGACTGGACCACCGGAAAGGGAGGTAAATGGGAATTTTGAACATGACCTGCCTTTCCAGTGATATTGTGGTTCAAATCCTCAAAAGCTTGCCAAAATTGAGTTGAATTAACAAAATAAGGAGGATTGGATATGAAATTGAGTTACAATGCATATCAAAATGGAGAATGAGGGCTTTCAAGGCAATATACAGTCGGAAAGGGAGGTCAATGAGAATTTAGAACAGAGGATACAGCCGGAAAGGGAGGTAAAAGGGAATTTTGAACATGACCTGCCTTTCCAGTGATATTGTGGTTCAAATCCTCAAAAGCCTGCCAAAATTGACATAAATTAACAAAATAAGGAGGATTGGATATGAAATTGAGTTACAATGCATATCAAAATGGAGAATGAGGGCTTTCAAGGCAATATACAGCCGGAAAGGGAGGTAAATGAGAATTTAGAACATGACCTGCCTTTCCACCAGAACTGCCTTTCCATAGATCCAAAGGTGTGAAAAGAGGTTTTTGCTATGGATGGGAGCTCAAAATGATATCAATATTGACCAAACCAGTGAAAACGAGACATAAACAGAGGTTTTGGAGTGATTTAGGAAGACTGGGTTTCCGGCTGGTTTGCCTTTCCATGAGAAAAAGGGCATGAAAGGCCCAAAACGCTAAGGGAAAGGGCATGCCCTTTCCGGGTGTAATATAGTTAGGGGCTATACATATAGTGCCTGCAAGATAGAGGAAACGACAATAAGGAGAGACTAGGATGAACTCACTTCTACAACAATATTTCTCAGTCGTGTGGGATTAAGTCAGGAAGTGTTCCCCAGGCTTGATTCCAACTCAGGAGAATGAACTACCTTCCTAGAGCCAGCAGATCAACTTCTAGACCAATTGATGCAGTATACGACCAGTATCAGTGTGGTGCGCTCATGCCTACCATTCCTCGAGCCAGCAGATCAACTTCTAGACCAATCAATGCAGTATACGATCTGTATCAGTGTGGTGTGCTCCTGCCTACAACAATATTTCTCAGCCATGTGGGATTCAATCAGGAGAAGTTCCCTAGGCTTGATTCCAACTCAGAAGGATGAACTACCTTCCTCGAGCCAGCAGATCAACTTCTAGACCAATCGATGCAGTATACGACCTGTATCAGTGTGGTGCGCTCACGCCTACAACAATATTTCTCAGCCGCGTGAGATTCAATCAGGAGAAGTTCCCTAGGCTTGATTCCAACTCAAGACGGTGAACTACCTTCCTAGAGCCAGCAGATCAACTTCTAGACCAATCGATGCAGTATACGACCAGTATCAGTGTGGTGCGCTCACGCCTACAACAATATTTCTCAGCCGCGTGAGATTCAATCAGGAGAAGTTCCCTAGGCTTGATTCCAACTCAAGACGGTGAACTACCTTCCTAGAGCCAGCAGATCAACTTCTAGACCAATCGATGCAGTATACGACCAGTATCAGTGTGGTGCGCTCATGCCTACAACAATATTTCTCAGCCATGTGGGATTCAATCAGGAGAAGTTCCCTAGGCTTGATTCCAACTCAGAACGGTGAACTACCTTCCTCGAGCCAGCAGATGAACTTCTAGACCAACCGATGCAGTATATGACCTGTATCAGTGTGGTGCGCTCACGCCTACAACAATATTTCTCAGCCATGTGAGATTCAATCAGACAACGTTCCCTAGGCTTGATTCCAACTCAGAAGGATGAACTACCTTCCTCGAGCCAGCAGATCAACTTCTAGACCCACCAATGCAGTATACGACCTGTATCAGTGTGGTGCGCTCATGCCTACAACAATATTTCTCAGCCTAACTTGAATCGAGTCAACCAGTGTTGACTACCTTCCTGCAAACACCAAGTGCCTTTCTAGACCATTTGAATCAGTGCACGACCAGTACCAGTGTTGTGCTGCGGTAACAATGTTTCTCAGCCTGGTGAGATTGAGTCAACCAGTGTTCCCCTGGATTGAATCCAGTCAACCAATGTCAATTACCTTCCCCCCAACACTAGGTGACTTTCTAGACCATTCAAATCAAGGTACATCCAGTACCAGTGTTGTGTAATTACTGCAGTAACAATATTTCTCAGAGTTGTGAGATTAAATCAGACAGTGCTCCCCTGGATTGAATTGAGTCCACCAGTCTCAATTACCTTCCCACAACCACTAGCTGACTTTCTAGACCATTCAAATCAGTGCACCACCAGTACCATTGTTGTGTGATTACTGCAGTAACAACATTTCTCAGCATTGTGAGATTAATTCAGACAGTGTTCCTCTGGCTTAAATCTGGCCAAACAACCTCAATTAGTTCCCAGAAACACTGGGTGACCATTTGACTAAGTGCAAGACCAGTACCAGTGCCATTTAATAGCAACAATATTTCTCAGCTTTGTGAGATTACATCAAACAGTCTTCCACTGCCTTGAATTCACTCTCCCACACTCTCATCCAAATTCCCCTCCATTTAATTCCATATACCAACAGCACCAGGCAGGTGATTTGTTTCTCACCAGAATATTTCTGTGCCAGGCGCTGCGGAAGTCCAGAATTTTTGACATCCCCAGTCCATAATCAGTGAGCTGAACTTCACCTCCTCACTCTCTGGACTGAATGCTAGACCATTCAATTCCATATACAACCAGTACCTGGATGGTGCTTTCTTTTTCACAAGAATATATCTCAACTGTGCCCTAGTTAATTGACCCATGTTTCCCATGGTCAGTTCATGGTCAGTTCATAATCTGTGAGCTGCAATTCACTCTCTCAAGCTCCTGACTAAATTCAGAACCTTTTGATTCAGTATCACTGGCCATGTGCCACCTGCTTCCCTTCACCAGCTCACAGCTCAGATATATTCTCTCTCAATGAAGTGCATTACTGACACCGGTTGCATCATGAATCAGCAACTCCTAAATTCACCATGGAATGTGAGAGTGTGTCAAACATGTCAGGGAATACAGATGAAGTGCGACAATCGCAGTGCACTTCTCAAGTGGAATAACTACACGGCCTCCGCCCGGAATTCCCGCCGTCATGCGACCGGCTGTTGGAAAGCCGAATTGATCAAAATGACTGATGTTGCTTCAAACTGACTGTTACGCATGGCTTCCGGTCAGTTTGTGTGAAGTAAAGCTACATCTCGACTTTGATATCTTCAATATTAATCTTAGCACTATGGTACACTTCGTTCGCGCAGGAAAACCTAATTGCGTTCGCAGCATTATACGGGATGTTCTCCGGACCCTTCTTCTCGGTAACGCCTGTAATTCTGCTTTGTCCAGATTACACTTTCATCGTAAATTTCCTGATGTATCTTCCTTTCAGTCTTGTGTTGCCGAAATATCACCTATCGAGCGTGTCGGAGCAAGAATTGGAGGAACATATGCTTTTATGGCCTCAGCTACGCTTGCTGGGACACCGATATCGGGCTTGTTCATCAAAGAGCAGACGAGGGATAACTTTGACAAGTTGATACTATTTTCGGTAAGCAACAAGCTCTCTTACCTTTCTCGGTGATTCATACATTCACCAGGGTATCATGTCGTTAGTGGGGACAGCCCTGCTTCTGGTCTCGCGCCTCATACGGAATAGGAATCTCTTCGTAGTGGCATAATATAACCAATCCTTAGAGGTGTACAGTAGAATAATATCTGACTATAACTCGAGATATGTAGAACGCGTAAGATGCATTTTATCAGGGACCAACTTTTTCGATGGAAAAGATTGAAGCAAAGCGAGGCTGGACAGCAGTATAAGTTGAGCAACGCATTGGGCTTTAGGCTAATAACAATGGGCAGGGTATCAAGGTTAAGAAAGGAGCAGCAACAATACTATACAACACTATGAATGTTATAAGGTCTACTTTTGAGAACCTAACGCGTACCAGAAGTATAAGTGCAGCAGAGGAGAATGACTGGCCGGCGCCATGGAAAGGTTGCGAGCCTTGGCCCGCAAAATATTGTCTAGCCAGATAACTCGACGAGGATGGGGACTGGAGAGCCATTGACCAACCTCGCCCGGTCACTTCCTCCCTTGATCACCCTCCCAGTTGCTAGTGAAATATATGAGCCAATCGCGGCTGGCGCTCCGAAGATACGAGTCGTGTTTGCCGATGCATCCACCTACTCACAGTGCTCATCGCGAGATTGCCTTCATAGTATAATCGTCGTGTTGAGTCAACGGTAGTCGCTGGGATAGGAGGGTGTAGCATCTCAATTTGATGCAGGTGTTTCCGGATTCGGTCCTTCAACTGAGAAAGCACGGAACTTGAATGCATTTGGTTGCGCGTCAGCTTTTCCGTCTTCTCAGTGCGCAAATGGAGGTTTACTCACCTGGAAAATACGATCTCTGAACAATATACCTCCAGCGTTCACGAAGATCACATCGTCAAAATTTTCGGGATCCATCGTCCTAGAGCTTGGAATTTGGAAGGGAAGAGAGGGTGAGAGGCCGGGCTCATTTTCTTCCCCACCATCCTTAGCCTTACCCGTCACCGAAACACCAGTGACCGAAACACCAGTGGGCTATGTGTGAGCACTGTAGAAATTTGGTGTGTTTGCATTTCCTATGCGAAATTGAATTAATTGAAGTAGATACTGAGAAGGAATTGCGTACTCAATTGTCTGCAGTTGTTCGGACATAGCGCAGACGTTGAGGATGAGAATGTGCAAGGACGTGGTAAAACAAGAATAAGAAAGTGTTTCCTTTTAAGTTTCATGTCAAGGATCCCACGTGGTTCTGACGACGCCACAGATAGATAGCTCTTCAATAGCAAAAATTTTGATCTCAACCCGACGAAACGAAACAACTAAAAAACGTACTTCGACCGCGACGTTTCCCTTTCTATCTACGTCTACGTTCTCCCGGACGTTGTATTCGATATTTTGTATTAGGGTAATCGGTAATCACGACCTGTGCTTCTATTTTGTCAGTACTGTGCAGACAGTAATCAGATAAAAGACATCCAGTGTACCTTTCGAGCTCCAGATTCCGCTGCAACTAAACTAGGCAACGCTCCTCCAGCCCCAAGCTCTAGAATACTCTTGTGTTGACAGAGTGATGGGCGTTGTTCAAGATAAGAAGCTATCGAGAGCACGGAATTCCATCTGAGCATATTGAGAGATAATGAGCAATAATTAATAATTGGCGTACAGAACGAGATATATGGGATGAAACCCATACAGGTGGTGTCCCCAAAGCGGATGTGAGCCTACGGGTCGAGTTCGGAATTCCTTATGCGATCCTTGGAAGATACTGAACGTCGCTTCAGGCGATGGTAGTCGTGGAACTTCCTACAAGAATCCTCACTAAGCTCAATTCGCAATCAAATCTCAAGAGAACGCACAATGAAAATCGAATCCAAGCCAAGATCAACTTCATCTGGGTCCACTGAGTGATCTTCTCGATTATGGATGCCAGCCATGTGACATCCATGTATTCACCAAAGAGCCCAGTCGAGCTTGTTAGTCCTCCTTGCATCCAGCCCCTTCCCGACACTGGCCGATAAGCAGACTTGAAGAAAAGCGTTGATCCGCTTGTAGAATAGATTTTGACATTTGGATCGACGGAAGAATGCTGGTTTTTTGCCTGAACGGAACAGTTGCTCTGAGAGTTTTATTTAGAGAAGTTGCCAAAGTACGCGGAAGTCCGAAAGTATTGAAGCGAGATGCAGGTATAAAAGACTGAGGAAACCGCCCAAAAGGTCGTAAGACTCCTCGGCGGCTTGATGCTTATATAATTCACCCAAGATTTTCACATGCCGTGTCCTCTTTTAATTTTCCACCTGGTCCGACGATTCTGGAGAGAGAACGAAAAGTATGCAACCAGAACTGGTATCTATTCAGGACTTGTATCCGGATAAATTTGATGTTGACGACGATGAATACGGCAGGTTTCTTTTTCTCTGTTTTTCCGTACTTGTACTGACCTTTCACATTCATACAAATTCTTCAAACGAATCATATTCTTGTTTTGCCCACTCGCATGTCCTTGTGTGTCAAATCACGAAGACGCGGAAGACGATTTCGCCCTCAATCTTGGCGCAGAGTCTGTGGCACCTACACCGCCCCCAGAACCCTCTAATTTCCCTAACGCGTTCTTGCCTGCAACGTCAATGAAGAGGCAGAGGTCGCATTTACAAATTAGATCTTCACACCCAGACTGTGCTATTTGGTGTGTATCTCCGATTTTATTCATGCTCCGATGCTAACACGTATTCTATGCAGCCTCCAGCCAGCCATTAGGCCGTTTCTAACGTCGTGTTGCGAGAAGGTTCTATGTGATGAACACCTGCAATATGTACGTCGGGCAATACTTTCTTTGCCATTCTATTTTCTTACTGAGCTAAACCTACATACTGACAGCAGCTGCACACATCGCACGCTTGTCTATCTTGCGGCTCGCCTTACCTCGTAACTTCTCCCACCACGATTTCATCCTTGCATGTGGTTTCGCAGAAAGACTCTGACTCCTGTGATGATTCTTCCAACTCACACATGTCTTTTGACTGTGATGCTTCCGCATCTATTGGTTCTGAATCCGACTCTGCGGAAGAGACTCCCTCCTCTCATACAAGGTATACACTGCTTCCAAATCCAGTATCCACGACAGTCGACCCAGAACTCGCCGGCTTGGCAGGTGGCGTTCTGGGAAAGGTGCTCAGCATTGTTGCCCTGACGTTGGTTTTCTATGTCTTATTCAATTGATATATTCTCTGTACAGCTCTTTTCCTCGTCACTCGTTTTCCTATATCATCATATCATTCCCATTGCTACCCTTCATTCCATACTCGTTCCAAATCAATTGCTCAACGCAATACTTTTGTGATTACTATATCGTGCGCCCTCAACTTGCCTACTGCAGTCTTCCTCATTCATTCTGACCAACCATTGTCATCTATCTTCGTCATATCATTGTATTACCATCTATTCATTGCATCGCATTTTCACTAGTTCTTAAACAAATGGCATCGTTTTTTTTACCTCCAGGCTCTTCCTTCGTCAAGACTATTGCTGCTCTCTTCCAAGGCCAACTTAAGGTCGAAGCTAAAGTTCCAATTACCTGAACCTCTCTTGATGATTCAAGGCCCTATTGCTGAACATTATAGACCGCCAAGAATTGATATGATAATGGTATGTAGTACTATATTACTACTACTCCTGAAAGAGATGATTCAAAGGCATTACTTCTAGAGACGGACACTGTCTGTGAGCGCCCTTCGGATTCGGGACTTCTCCCCTGAATATTGACCCTGATGAGTCGTCCTTTCTCTAGTTCGTGAAACACGAAACGATCTATCAACCTCGTATTATGTGCGAAAAATGTGACGGTCAGATATGTCCATGTCAAACCAAACAACTCGCTCCGAAGCCTCCATAGCGCACCTCATGATCAATACAGTTCAACCGCAAACGTCCGTGGAAGTTCCTTCACTTCATCCAACACGCAATCCTTGAACGTTATGAAGGCGTCTTTACACCACGCACAACCGTTACCCATCAAAATGGCCTCAAGCTGTAGAAAAGATCGGTCGAGTTGATCAGGGAAGAGAGAACTAGGTTTTGCTATGGCGTCGTCCAGGAAGGACTTTAGCCTCCGAGTGATCTGTGTTTGAGGTTCCTTGAAACATGGGTAATTTTGGTTCTGATCGTGGTCGGCGCTGGATTCAATGATCAGAGCAAAGCACTTCAAAAGGACTTTAATCCATCTGTCGCGGAAGATGCACTGGCAGAAGTCATCAAAACGAGTCACGACACGATGGGCAGAGATGGGATCACGCACAAATTCACCAAAAGCTGTCGGTGGTAAGATGGTGATTACCTCCTCAAGTTCCATGTCCAGCAAAGCAGGAGTAAGTTCCGCCAACATCTTCTCTTTCCGGTACTTGACTGCGAACCTTATCAGTTCGGCAGAATGGAAAAGCGTATGTTTCCTGATGCAAGTGGATGTCATTAGGTCAAGAGACGAGAATATAACTTTAGGATATACGCACCGAAGGCAGAATGTACAGTGGCTCATCGCATAGAACACACCATACTTCTCCGCTGCTTCCGCCACGCTCAACAATGCGTTGAATTCCAGCCGCTCCAAATCTGTCTCGTAATCTGGATATAAAAATTCGAACAGGATTTCCAGCACATCGGCTGGCTCTGTCAACGTGAGGAAGTCGTCCTGAATTCCTGGGCTTTTCGATTGAGATTGAAGTAAACCGCCGGACGTCACTTGAACATTCATCTTGTGTAAACGAAACAAGACATTGTCGGAAGAGACAACGGTGATTTCTGCGTCCTGGGCGTTAACTGTATTAGCTTGATCATGAGTTCCTCAAAGCGCGGGAGATTACAAAGAGCGATAGGGAAAAAATCAAGCTACTCACATCGCGGAGACGTCTTTGGTGGAGTTGGAGGGGCAAATTGGGCGTAAATAACCTCTGCTGGCTCAGCGTCCCGTTTAACGGGGAACTCCTTGAACCGACTGTCATGTAACTCCTTCATGATCTCGAAGGAAGTTGGACGGGGAGGAGGGAGAGGCTCTATAGAAAAATGTAAACTCATTAAAATCAGGGAACCGTACTAGTTATAAGTGAGCGTGTAAGTGCAAGTATGCCTTAACTCAATGCGCCATGGAGTTGCGGTTCACATCGCTGTCCGACATCTGGCGCCACTCGGCTATGGAAAATTACTTCACCGAAGCGGTTGGTGGCGATGTCGCAGACTAGAGTCACGCCCGAGGATTCTCGGAAAGGAATTGTTTCAGTTCCAATAGGCGTTACAAGGGGAAATTTACAAGTAGTAAAGAAGAATAAATTATACAAATTGAGCTGAAGCAAGATTCTCCCTGAAGATACTGTCTCGAACTGGAATAAGAGGCGTTGAGATCAGAATGGAATTTTAGCGAAGGGAATGGCCCACCCGATCTCAACGTAGTAGCAGTTGCTTTTGTATCCTGTAAGGCATAGCTAGCTGTGAGTTGTAGAGACCAAGCAGGGGAGACACTGCACAAACCGTAACAGAAGTAGTATATATATACGTTGTCCTCTGCTGATTAGAGTATTTGATTGCAATATTTCGGAATCGATCTTTAATGACTACGCAGTTTATCAATTGCTACAACCGGTGCTTGTTCAAGCGTAAGTACACCCACACTTTGCAATGGGCGTTATATCATTCGGTTGACTCCCATAATCCCGAACAAAGTTTCGAAATTGGATCCCGCTTCTCAATTTCCGTTTGAGAATGTCGCACTTATTCAGGAAGCACACCATCGTGGTATGTTGAAGCAGCCTTGAGGAGATTATTGCCTTCCATAACCCTACAGAATCGTTCAAGCGATTGACCGAAGGATCTTCGAGGAGGACCTCATCGAAACCAGATATGGCTTCAATTTCGTTGAGAAATATTGACGACCGCTCAAACTGACCCAGAAGACGTACGAGCAACTAAATGAATTATGAGGAATGTTACTTCTCGCATAGATAGCGATGGAACTCACGGAATATGATAGCGTTGACATCTTGAAAATAGGGGATCCAGGCGCGGCGCTGAGTGGAAATTCAAACAAAGAACAAGTTCAAGAAATGATATGGCCACTCACCATGGTTCTGGACCCCCCTACATCGTAGAGGACCCACTCGCGCCTCGGCCTAGCTTTCAGATTCAATGCTGATGCAAAAGGAAATCAGCTGCGGAAAAACTAACGTTGGGCCTCGAGAATTACTGTTCGTTGTATCCACAAAAATGCGGTATTCTTGCACTCCGACAGTTCTGAGCCTCGAACGGACAACATCATCGTCAGATGGAAGATACGAGAGTGTCGCGATCCGGTCAATATCATTGAGAAAGCTACGAAGCCTATTTAAATAGGGGAAAAAGACGAAGTATATTCCAAAACTCACAATCCTGCATTGTTTTCCATCTCCATTTTACGCCTTTTGAGGATACCTCGAACGTCTCCATCCTGCCAGAGCCTCTTCATGTCCTCCTTGCATCCAGAAAGAATTTCAGCAGCGCCCCCTTCAGTGGATTCCTGGAATTCGAAGCTTGCCCTAGTCTTCCCTGATATACTCCGAGTTCTTCCATACGTCAAAAACTCTCTCCATCTCAGTCCCCGAACGACCATTTCCTCTCCTTGTATCCTTCGCCGCCGATTTTTCCGCATACGAAGCATATGTCTGGAGTCCGGTGACTCTAGTGAGTGGATATCCGTTCCTGGGTCGCTTTGAGTTTCTGGTATCTCATCCATGCTTGTTACCTCCTCTGTCGCCGCACCGAGCCTCAACTTCAAATCCATTTCGACACGGCGTAGGGGGGCAAGCTTCAAACGGAATAACTGAAATCTCTGTATTTCCTCCGAAGAAAGCGTTGGTTGGGTAGATGGATTAGAGTCCGCATCGTTGAACTCAGAAAGAATATCAACTGATCCCCTTGGTTGGGCAGGTGTATCTGGCTCGTCGTTATCAAGAATAGTAGAGGGAGGCTCCCCGTCGATCTCGGCTTGCAGAGCATCTAGAATAGAAGTGATAGACCGCACGAGATTGAGTTGAATCACTGCTCTCCAGGAAGCTTTTTCCGCCTCCCACTCTTCTCGGGCATACTCCAAACGAAAGTCTGTATGCATTGGCTGGCATCAATGTCTCTGATGAGGATGTATAAATAACTGTACTTTTCAAAGTCGTGGATTTTCCTCATTGTGATGGATAATCAGGATTTTATAATTTTGGCCGAACCATTTGTCACTCACCGCTCTCGGATTGGCCAAGTAGTAGAACTTTAACCAACTCCTTCTGTTTCTGAAGAATTTGCCTTTCTTGCCTGATCTGTTCGTCTATCGCGTCGCTAATGCGCTTCTCCTCTGCCTCACGTATCCTCCTCGTGGCTCGTTCTGACGGCGTTTCGTTCAACGGTGGGCGCAGGAACTCTGCGAAAGGGTCCGGCTCTGCGATCATATCAGTCCTGCGTTGTGCGGGGAAGAGGCTGGAAGAGAGAAAGAAAAGGGGGGGACAACGAAAATCGTGGCGGATCCGGAATTTATATCGTCTGTCAAATCGTCGAAGGATAGAAACCCGTGGAAAGTAGAATACACATACATACTTGATATGGAGATATCATTTGATGCAAGTAGGATTCTGATGATGACAATTGAGTGCACATTTTCTTTTGTTTGAAGTCTTCTGGTGCACCTCAAAACACAGAGCATATCAGCTCGGAAGCGTGAAGCAGATTCCAGGACCTGAACCAGCACAGTAAGTAGAGTAAGCAAGTTGAAGCGGATTCAAATGTACAGTATGGCAATGCCGCCGTTGCGGCATTGCATCAAGTGACAAGTCACAGTAGTAGTCTAGACTTGTAGCCTACTGTAGTCTTCATTGCTATAGCATGGGGGACATCGTAGCATATATGATTGCTTACGATAAATCTGACACTTCAAGGAACAGTTAAAGATACATGTGCACAGGAATAAGACGCTTGATCCGTTTGTGAATAACGAAAAATTTCTTTGAAACAAGCCACCAGCTCTACTTCGAAGGAGCCGGAGAGCTACTAAATATCGAAACACAAGGTTTGTAATCATGAGGAACTTCTCGAATAACGGAAAGTTAAAAGGACAAAATTCAGAAGGAGAAGGTTCGCTTCATGATTGATATAATCAGCCATCTCTGATTCGAGAAGGTTGAGCAGATGATTGGCTGACCGGGAATCGGCCATACCACTTGAGGTGCTGCTAGGTTGCTGATAGCAGGAGAGTATATACTAGCACATGTTTCCTACTCTGCAGCGCTAGCCAAGTAAGTACCCCGAGAAAGCAATCAGAGTCTTAGAATCTCACGGTAATCAGTGATTACCTCGAGTGGTCAGGGATTATTCGGGAACATTCGTATCAGTTCGTATTGGCAAATGACAGACTCGACAGAAATGACGAACAGCTTACTTGGAATTAAGTCGACAGGAGAGATGACAAAATCCATCTTTCGATGCGCCTGTTTGGCACTAAGTAGGACCGTTATCGACAGTTCGAAATGGCGACCTGATAGAGATTCCCCTGCAAAGGACTGATTCACAGTCGTCTTGTCGTTCGTGACATGTGTAAAGAAGAACTCGAGTCAATGAGATGACTATCCGACTACGAGCGCGCGCGAGGAGATCATCAGTTCAAAACCCTCAGATAAGATTGTGGCCCATTATATTATAAGTAGAGCAAGGACTACGATGACGTGGCGGAGTGTTGGAACTTATCTACAGTAGCGTATTGGTCATTGACACATGCATTGGTTTAGAAGCGGCTAACGATTGACTTATTTGCCATTGGTGAGCAGTCGACAATGTAAGACAAGCGGTCGAAGAAACTACTAATTGAGCCTGAACGTTGATTCGTCTCGAGTGATTGCAATGAACCAGTCCTCATTATGAGGACCAACTTTCATGTGACAGAGATATACCTTCGAGGCCCAGCCGTGAATACAATAAACGGAGTATGAACGATTTTGCGGGATGATGATCGAAGATGATTTAGATGCGACTGAGTATCACGGATTTACTGCGCCTACCAAACGACACCTAAATGGGTGAGCCAGAAAACAGGATCCACTGTGCGGATTCAAGAGCCCTCACTCTTCTCACTCGTTTCTGACTTCAACCTTGTTATCCTTGATCATACCGCGCAGCTATAACGAATCGATGTCGGATCGAAACAGAGTGACCTGTCGACAGGCAATTGTGCTACGTTCCATACTCGACCCCTCTACAAACCTTGAAGGAGATGGGGTTGGGATCATCGTCTCTCAGAGCGTTATTCAGAGTACCTACACACTCTCATGACGTTCAATCAATCTCCACTCCAGAAAAAAACGAACTTGTCCTTGCAATCAAGAGGGCCTGGCTTCTCCAATGTACATGCTTGATTTCGAGTCAAGTGACAGAGGAGATCTAGTTTCAACGTTTTACGGTCAAGTACTCACGATTGGCAGTGCGAACGATAAGGAAAAATTACGAGATAAGTTCAGATTGAACATCATCTCATCTTGACGTTTGGTGCGTTGCCGGCGCCGATTCAACGATAGACATTTTGTATTCTGAAAGCGTAAGTGAGAGATTGTGATATTGCCAGAGAAATATTATTGAACCATGTCTACTGAGGTCGAGAGCGTCTGGAAATGGAAGGAGCATAAGTTAAACAAACAGTCACTTGGATCTGAGATAAGCACACCGTGATGCGCCGACGCGACAATCGAATAAAGTTAGAAGAATACCAATATGTATGGCTGAGGCGTAGGAAACGGGATGGCCCACACAACAGAAACAGGAAAGGGATGATATTAAACGAAACTGAAGCTTGTACAGAATTTACACAGCATGAGATTTCGACATCCTCAACCATGCTTCCTGTAGACTTTGCCCCGTCTCATGACCATAATACGTCAATGCAGGAGGTGAAACAGCTATATATGAAAAAGACAAGAATAAGCTGCAACTTTTCATTTTGATTATACCACACACCTTTGGAATTCAGCATCACAGCTTTATCAATCGATTTTTCTCCTATCGAAGCTGGGCTAGTTTGGTAGCACCATTAGAGTCGAAAGGGATTGAGAATTTGAAGGGCTTACACTAGGAGAACATCACGACTATTTAACAGATTCTGCGTGCGTTGTAAACTCTGAGGAATCTTTTGGTCGTTTACAAGTCTATAGGAACGTAATTTATCATCATCGCTCTCAAACTAGGTGGCGTTTCAGCGAGTGGGAACAATGTATAACTTGGGAAGAATGCTCACCTTCCGTAAAAGCATTGGGTGATTCCTGAAATCTTCGATCCTAAGACGATATTAGGATCCCGCGAGCAATGTGAACAGGTCAGCTTACATGACGCTTTCAGTTGAGAGCAGAAATTCTGTGAATTTACTGAATTCGAAACGCTCGGGCCGTCCATAAAGAGCGACTCACTAACGACCGCATACTCATTCTGAGCACATACACCGGGTCTATACGGACCAATTCCTTGTTCAGGGTCCAACAGAAGGCTCCACCTTTCTATAACATGATGAACATGGTGTAAATGACCATGAGAGTCTTATATCAATTATGGGTACGCACCACCCTTATTTCCAAAGGCTAAATTCTTCCCACTTGCAAGAGAAACAGCCTGACCGTTGCATGTAAAGAGGTATAGGGAGAGTGATTGGGGTAGTTTGGATCTAGAGGAGTCCTACGATGATCAATCAGTTTACGCTCTACGGGAATGTATTTGATCAGTGACTCTTTACATGAGTCGCTGAACTGAGCGGGTTTGGGGACAGAGGAATTGCGTTGACGGAAGCGATAACCCAAAGCAAGTAAAAACACAACGATGACGATATAACGGAAGGAAGAGAGCCCGAAAACAGCATACTGAAGAGAAGTCGGGATGGAGTCGATGTGAGGAAAACGTAGTGACGAGAGCCTGCGTCCAACGTTCAAGAATGAAGGTACAATTGCGACCAGCGGCGAGGGGGTGAGTGTTGCGCGTTGCCCGTTTTATAAGCATTTCGACGGATGATGATGCGTCGGGATAAGCCGTCGGTTGAAATCAATGATCAAATGAAGAGCACGTGCGCGCCGCGTCTCATTATGGGGAAATCGCATCGATTCAGGAAAGAAATCCAAGAAATTGCGTACAAGTTTTCATCATCTCTCGATGCTTGCTAATCGGCTACTGCTCTTCTGGCCACAGTCTTTAGTCCGGACTTTGGTCACACAAAATTACACGAAGTGTTTACTATAACTGTGCGCAGGTGCGCTGACTGTGCGTGTCCTCACAAGACGTCGCTGGCATTCTCTGCTGACACCTATTGTAATTTCCTTAGACGTTCAGGTTCAACGAACTGCAAGTCTCCAACCTGGACCCAAGATCCAAGATTTACGGCAACGTTCCGGCACGCAGATTTGATTCTTGGCCCTGCATGGTCAATATTCCTCGTCATTCGGTTATTTTTTCTCTACTTCCGCCAACTTGCATATCTTATGAACGATACGATCTGACGCTTGCTTCCCTTCACTGCCGTCTACTGCCATTCTCAAATCACCAGTCGCTTTCTATATGCTTGCCTCATTATCTACCTTTCCACCTCTACCAGCATCCGAGGGCTGCAAAGAAGATGACCCTCACTATCCTTTAGGCCTCACTCAAGAAGAAAAACAATGGTCTGACCTGTACCCTTATGTCGAACGACGAGGGTATCGGTTACGCTCACGATACCGTCCTGGCTGGGTCGGTTCATGGATCAAAGATGGAATTTCGACATCAGAATTGTTGATGCGGCCAACCTGGAAGTATGAATACGATGATGCGGAACCGGTAAGATTTCTTGCCTAGCCTTTCCGTCGAATGTTCACGCTACTTGTCTGTAGTCCACTGGCCGGCTGACCGTCATTGACGCTATACGGATTAGCGATGGTGCCTTGGTCGCCCTCAAACTTATCTCCATGTCCACTCACATAAATACCCCGGATTCAAACGAGATAGAGATTCTGCAATATTTATCCTCACCAGCACTTGCCCGCAACCCTCGCAATCACTGTATCCAGATGATAGATTCCTTCGAAGTGTTTACGCCTGCCGAGATGAAGCAACTCAGCACCCAAGGTTTCTCCAACGCCTTTATCGCCGTGTTTCCGTATGCGAGGAAATGGAACGATATACCGTTCAGATTGGTCTGGGAGGCATTGGAATTCGTGAGGCAAATATTACAGGTACCACTCTAGTTTCATTCTTTGGCTTTGATTCTACAACTTTTCTTCTTTAGGGACTGACTTTTCTCCACGAACACAATATTGCCCATCGGTAGGCATTACTCTGAGTTTATTCATCGCTTCTGAAAGATATCTCGCTGCAGGGATATACGCTCTGAAAACCTCATGATGGATGCATCAAGCCAATGTTTTTCTGGTATCTGTCCGTTCTTTCCCTTCAGTGCTTCAAAACTGATTACTTTCTTTCTCATCCTTTTCCTGTAGCAACCAATCCTTCTGATCGCATCGAAACTCCCGTCCGCTACTTCCTCATCGACCTCGGTTCCAGTACCAGATTCCAGAAACGCCGCCTGGTCAACTTCCGTCATGGATGGCATAAAGGAATTCCGGAGATTTACGAGATGGATGCTGAGGGGAGTCGGGCGCCTACGAAATTATACGACCCGTTCAAGGGTGATGTATTCGTACTCGGAATGATCCTAGAGGGATTTTTCGGTAAAGTGAGTGTTCACATATTCCTATTAACTTCTACTTCCCGAGACGAGTTCCGTGACTAACATTTATTATTTCCTCTCTCTCAGTCGATCCCTTCACTTCGATCACTATTCTCATTCATGCAAAATGTCTCTCCTCATCGTCGACCGACAGCCTCTGAAGCCCTCTCCCTCTTTCACGAATGCACAAAACCTTTGTATGCCTCCCGAATGTATTTAATCATGCCTGTCACAGACCCATCAACGCTCGCGGTGGAGGACACGGAACTGGATTTCTTTACGAGATGGATGGTACAAATTGTAGCGTTTTTGTGGGGATGGGTCGATTATCTGAGATTGGTGTATAAGGTGCTGTGGAGGGGGCATGCGTTGAGGATCGGAACATGATCGAGGGAAGGAGCCTTTGTAGGTGCCTCCATGGGTGGTGGATAATGTTGGCTTGTACAAGCTGGGAAGCAGGACAATATGGAGGGGCGCTCCCCGATATGGTCGCTAGATTCAAGGCTATTGATCACCTTACTGATCGTTCACATATTCGTACTAGTATCAACCTTAGGACTGTAAATTATCTTACGCTCATATGCATGTAATCCAGAGGTAATCACAGGTGAATCAGAGTCCATGTAGAGAATTATGTAGAAAATATGCTATATTCTTGGAACCCGGTAACCACCAGATCTTGTATAATGACATTGGCCATACGCTATGATTCAGATCTATCTGAACATTCTGAGTCTATGTAAGTATGACAAAAACCTAATAGTGCTCACCTGCCAATTTTGACCTCGGATGACGGCCTGGCTTCCCGGTGGGCTTTCAAACTTTCACCATTTCATCCTTCATCATGATAGGCAATTTGCAAAACGTTCATCTCTTTGTTCCTCGTGCAAAGAAGTTCATCAAGATCATCAAGAGCTCAAGCGCTCCTTACGCGCACGAAATTCTTAAAATGATCAATACGGTTGAACGGCTGCACCAAATGAATAATCCGATTGAACCAACCCGCCTTGAGGCTTCCACGGACGTGAAGATTCCTAAAATCAGGACGAATTGACGCTGAGAGCTTGAGTTCAGTGAGCTGATGCATTTTAGTCACTCACTTTCATATAAAATCTAGACCACAAATACGTACTACGTTGAGGCATACCTTCTCAGAATCCATCACCTCTCACGACACAGACGTCCATTTGTCAAACATCTTGAGGGGAACCAAAGAGAATGAACCATTCTCAGCGACCTCCACACGATGGCCCAATAGGGTCGAAGCGTAGAATTCGTGACCCCGAATTCGGCGAGCGCAAGAGGGCACGAATTGCTGTTTCTAAAACATCGGCTCTGAAAGCTGGAAAATTACAGGAAATCCCAATGGAATTAGTTTTCGAGGTATCTTTGCTACTCAAAAGTCGCCGCTTGGCTCCTTGATTTTTTTTCTGACTTCTCAATCTTGTAGATCTTGTCATATGTCCAACCGTACGACCTACTCAAATTGGCAAGGATAAACAAAGCTTTCAGGTGTTTACTCATCAGTCGCTCTTCTGCATTCTTGTGGCGTATTTCACGCGCAAATGCAGACGATGTACCCAATCCGCCATTTGAATTTTCCGAACCAGCATATGCCCATCTGCTTTTCATCAACTATTGCAGTGTACGCTCGATCTTTTCAGCAATGTTCTACACTATTTCTTTTCCATAATTCTGCCGGGTCCGCTGCGACAAGATTATGTGGGAGTGCCGAATTCGATGTTGCAAAAAATGTTCCATACACAGGCAAGCAGTAATTATTTACACTTATTCTGACCCACCTGACCGACCATTAGGTTCATTCCCGATAATGATCAGGCTATGAATAAATATCCCGTCTTGCTGCGAAAACATCGCATGAAGTCTTTCGTTCCTAAACGTATGTCCCAAGTGGAAAATTCTTTTGTCGTATTCAAGTTCAATACCCACCTTATCTCCAGAGACCTCAACGAAAGGTCCCCTATACACTCAAGTTCTGGATCGGTACAATGCCGAGCTCCTTGCGCTTGAAGGTAATGCTGAAGCGATTGAGGAATGGATAAGCTGTAAGATTGTACAGTACAACATCATCAGAACTGTGAGATTTATCTACAGACTCAAATTATGCTCAGCCTTAGTGTTCACTCTTTGATAGCAAGCTATTGCGTGTGCTGAATAGGACGCCCACCGAAAACGGCGCCAACAGTCAGAACGGGAAGCAGCACGACAGAGTCGCATCGAATGGCAAGTAGTGACTTGTGTTTTTGCTCGATGTGTATCCAAAGCTAAACATTTGACACCATAGGATTGAAGAAAAGGCCGAAGCAGAGGGCTGGGCCTTCGAGGTAGAGAGTCTTCGTCAAATGAAAGGCTATCCAATGGGAAAGCTTGCGTCTAACCCTTGCATCAATAAGAAGGATAAAAATACTCTGAATGAAGAAGGTGCGTACCGTGTGATTAGATATGAGATTAGATCCTACTATTCTCCCGGACGCTCAAAGAGTTTTATCGACTCATAATTGCTGTCATGGCCGAAGTTCTGATCACTGCTCTAGACTGGCTCAAAGTTCAACCTCTTATACTCGAACCTCTACAGCAACAAAGAACTGTCCTTGTAGACCGAGCCATATCTAGGCGCATGTTTCTGCTTGAAGAAGCATACGGCCGATTCCGAAAAACTTACTTCTGCCCACATAGTGCGATCTGTCCGACCTTAGGAGACCTGATCGTCACAGATGGTCCCATCAAAACACTTATACAAGCCACTCCACTTAACCATCACCCTGCAAGCATCGACTCAGAGTTCAGCATGCGCAGCGCGGAAACGTTGCTTTCTTCCGAATTTGCCTCGTTCGTTCACAAGTGGCGATACGAGAAGGAGATGGACCTATTCAGGATGTTATGCGAAGCTGTTCCCGGCACGTCTAGCGGCAACGATCTGTGTCTCGCGACAACAACTTTCAGGTGTAACACTTGCAGTTGTGGAATAGCTCTTTACTACCCTGACGTGTTCCATCACAGCTGTACTACTGCCTACGACTTCCGTGCAGACTGGGAAACTATGTTCGAGACAAGTGGAATCGTAGGGGTTGATTGCGCTACGTTATTCTTTCTGGCTCCTTCGACGCCACGAATCCCGAAGTCTAGTAAGGATGGTAAAAGCGGGTTCGCTGTGGAGAAAAAGGTGCTCGATTGCTTGAAGATTTTGAATACCAAGCCATGGAATTATAACGGGAAAGGAATCAGCTTTTATCATCGCGCCTCAGCAATTGCTCGCCGAGTTCTAACGAATGACCCTTATCTTGACCCATCGACTACAACGATTCATCATATCAAAACCCGGAATCTTAATGCTTGTTGCATAACCTGTTCAGGTACTTCGTTCTGCTGGTCTGATCTAGTGAGTGCCTTTGATTTTTCTCGTCTATCCAACTACTCAGTGCTCCACTTCAGTTTCGACATGAAAATGTTGGAATGCACGATATTGTAATCCACTGGCCAAACACTGTTTGTGACCAAGATGTCCGCTCAGACACCAATTAAATGAGCTTCCACTCAGAATCGTGGGTCTACGGTTCAAGGTGTAAGCTATGCCTTGATCTTTTGCATCCCGATGCACTGTCAGGTCATCTTCTTTCTGCGTAACTATATCTGTTTTACTTGTTTGTCCTGCCCAATCTGAATCGTATTCTTGTAGGCACAGCGAATTTCAAGTCGACGGAGACTGGTACATGGACTTCGACAGTCGCTTCCCAGTATATTAATGGACTCCCAAGATTGGTTATATACAGAATGCATCGGCTCAACGCCTCCCTCGCTGCAATATCACTGTTTCATTCTGTGCTTTTTCAAAAGCTCTCACGCCGATTGCACGGACGCTACATCTTGTTCTGCTAATGATGAAAGCATTTATCATCTCATACAAGTCATACCCTGTTGGATTCTTTCTTCTACTTCAGCTTTATGTTTGGTAATTTGCATCCATCTTGATATGAGTGTTTCCCTTATCTGATCATCATCGTTGGCTTGATCAATTCAATTCAATAGTATTTACTTGTTTAGGAACAAAGCCTCATGTAGGCGTGTATTTCAGTGGGTCCATCGCCGTCCACGTCAAGTTCAACACATGTTGGAGTTGATTCTACAGCTTCCTAGTCAATTTCTGGAAGAATACATCACCCTCGATTTCCGGGCGCGATGACTCGTTCTCTACACGTGTAGAGCTCTACAAATATTATATCCACTGGGATTGTATCTGGCGTTTTTCATGGCCCCCAGTATTCCTGATACCGTTCAGAACATTCTGAACTTTGGCCTAAACCTTACCCATCAGGAGTGCCTCTCAACCGATACATTCCCGAAGCACTCGCCGATAAAATTTCAGGACAAACATCTCGACGAGAACTACATTCTGAAGCAGGTTGTGTCTCTTCCCGGAACCGAGCTCCTGACGGGCCTTCTGAATTTCGCTAACGAGCTCCTTGAATCTGTGGACGAGTTTCCAACACCTTCTCTCCCTGCACTTGTGACACACCGCTTCCCTGCTGTCGATCTCAATGCAGACACAATCGCCAAATATTACCAGAACTCCATCTCCGAAGCATGTTGTTATCTTGCCTCTCACCTCCTTCTCCATTCCAAAGCGATCAGTTGGTGCAATGACTTATCGTGGAGACAAACAGGAGATTCAGAAGTGCGGCCCTTTCCACGCAACTGGAATCGAGCGCGGATTGAAAGGCGGTTGTCGGAAGAATATTTTGTTGCTCGCAAGTGGTCTCTTGTTCGCATTAGAGACTCCCCTTCTGTTCCAATCGGTTCTTTAACCCCAGGAGAACAGAATATTAGGAAATATTTGTCAAACTGTTCAGAACAGACTGAGCTCGCTGTCTGGGAAGTTTTTGCTTGCACGGTAGCCTCTGATTACCTTTTCGACAGTATTCGGAACATTGCACGAAAGTCGACCGAAGAAAAGACGATTTTTTTGTGGAAGAGACCACATACCAAAGAGTTTAACATCAAACATGTGCCCTACAAACGGTATTCAGATGCTATCCCAACGCTTTGGACTTTGCCACATGACTCTTTTAATTTTGGTGAGTCCATTTCCAATGTTCAGTTCCTCAAAGATTGACACAGACGAATAAGATACAGAATGTTCTGGTAAAATCCAAGTTCTTCCTATGATCCTAATGGGAGACTCATGATTGTAGAAGCCTTCGAATGCAATGAAGGAACTTCTCAACGTCGACCTCGGACGCAACCAATTGACATCCGACCGCTGGATAGCTTGGACCGGGAAAATGTAGAAATCGAGAATAATCCTTCTGATATCGCGGTATGGGGACAAGATTATCTCCAACGGGTTCGTCACTGCTTCCTTATATAATTGATCCAGCAATGAAATCCTGACCAACTTTATATTTAGGCGTGGGCTCGTGCTGTCGACATTGACGCCACATTCATCATACTACACCGTGGTACAACTGAAATCATCTGCGTCAGACACCGAGCATCCCAAACACTCTTCGTCTCGGAAATCATCGATACTTCAGTCAAATACTACGGCAAACTTCAAATTGCCCTCTACGCTGCAATTCTGAAAGATCAAGTAGAACGGCAGGAAATCTGGGATAGAGAACATCCCTCTAAATCGAAGGTTACGTCGGAGAAGAAGCGCTCTTTTGATCAGGTTGAACCCGAAACTCATAGCTGTTCGAGAAAACGACTCCGTTCAAACAGTCTCACTGGCAGTCTTGATACATTACAGGCCGTGCCCATCTCTACGTTGTCTTTGAAGGTGTGCATGCTCACGCTACACAATTATACTCTAAATTTGTTGTTGTTGACACAGGAGCGTTGCAAGAAACTGGAGCTAGCTATTGTCAGTCTCGACTACTATTTGCATAGGTCAACAATTCCTTCAATGTTCGTTCGACGAAAATTCGACGGCAGGGAGTTCCTTCGACCTTTCTCGCTACGATCATCATATCCTCCGGAATCCTGCCTCCGGATTAACGTCAAGTCGTGGATTGGCGGCGGAGCCTCGGGACATGCACATCGAGGAATCTTATACATTGGTTCTGATGATAAACGCTGCGAAGAGGTGGTGGTAAAATTCGGTCGGGACGATCATTCACGACAGTCTATGAGGCACGAGTTGAAGGTCTATGAGTATCTTGCGCAGGCCAAAGTGAAATCAGTTCCCCATTGTTACGGGCTCTTTGAGGATATCGAAAACAAAGATAGCCCCTATATATTGGTTACCAGCTATGCTGGAGAGAGCTTGGCGGTATCATGGAAGAGGGGTCGCGCCACGATACCAAAATCTCAACAGTAAGTCTCGTTTAACATCCTTATCCTCTCATCAATGTTAATGCTTGCTAGTCCTACTTTCCTCCGCAGTTTGGCAGAAATTCATGCTGCTGGTATACATCATCGGGACTTGCGCGCGCCCAACGTTGTCATTGACAAGGATGGCAAAGTCTCCCTCATCGACTTTGATATAGCAAGATTATACGTGACTGGAAGACAACGCAAGCACGAGAGAAAGAGAATGTTAAACCTATTAAATGGAAAGAGTGTGGACTACGACCGTACAAGTTTCCGTGACGGAATTCACTGTGATGACTGTTCTCCTGGAATTTGTCATGAAGCATCGGGATGGGATAGCGAGGAAGAGGAAGTGGTGCGAGCTAGGTCTGAACCTCCGCATATCAAGAACTAAAAGTCCTTGTACCTACTTAATTGATGAATGTATCAATGAACTTATGAAGTACTGAAATCTCCCAGATGAGTACTTTAAATGGTGCATCTCAAGCAATTATTGAGAGCCCACTGCAACATTGAACAATTACCTTGACGAAGATTGAGCAGATTATACCACCAATGAGAAAAGTGATCACGTTTGCAAGAGATAACTATTTCTCGACTTTCAAGGGGGACACAGAGAGTGGCCGAATGATGAAAGTGCGACAAATGATGGAATGAATAGAAGGAGTGTCTATTATCTGTTCACATTATAGAGAATATTTCAATAAAATAGTATCAAAACAGTGCATGCCGAAAGAACTGCAAGGGCAGTCCGTCCAGTAATCCTCAGCGCCGAACTAGAACTAACGAACTCGCTCGTGCCCAATACTTGATTCGATCTTCCAATGGCCCGTACTGCGTAGTGGCTATAAGAATTGGAAACCGTGGAGACCGTAATGGTTGTTTCAAATCCGTCTTTGGTCTTGTTGTATAGAGAGATGCTGCTTGACCCCGAAGAATCACTGGCGCCATATAATTCCCATTTGACGATTTCGGTTGCGCCGTTCCAAGATGCGTGAGCACTCAGTAGATTGCTTTTGGAAGAACTGACCAGCTCGATAGATGGGGAGTCTGTGGGTGTTCCGGTCCAGTTGTATCGCAGGGCTCGATCTACAGAAATCAATCAATCATAATTTTCAAGACCGTTTGAATGACATACAGCTTTCCACATCACCGACACCAAACTGTGTAGTCCAAAGCAAATCGCCGTCTGGACTATATTCGCCAGTCCAAGGTAGCTGGCCAAACCTGGATACCAGATACAAGGTAAGGCCAGACGTAAATAACTCGGTTCGGCACTGGTACACACCCGACTAAAAAATTCCCATTGGGTTGAAGCTGGACACTCCCTTGACTTTGTGAAATGCTTTGATTCCACGGCAAGAGTTCTGTAAGAAGCTCGACAGTCATATTAGTAAAGTCAACCCCCAGGTGAAGTCCTCGCGACATCTGTTCTTGTTGTTGACCAAACTGTCCTGCATTATCAAATAACCTGTAGGTCGAAACGCTTAGTAATGTTCAAGGATAATCGATGGAATAACACACGTCATGGTCGCATATGTATCATTTTTTTCTACCCATCGGGCATGGTGTTGCCAGCTGAACTCCGTTCCGTTCCCCATGCTGAATGACGAATTCTTGCCACCCATTTTCCACAGGATATCTCCGTTAGTTCCGTCGAGGTAATACACAGTCCAGCAATGGCGGGAGGAGATCAAGTAGTTCCCGACATCGTCCTTCTCAATGGAATTGATGTGCTGCCGCAAGATTAAATCCAAAAGCCGCGGTTATGGTGCGAAATGAACACGCACAAAGTAATCGAAAGCTTCAGCAACGCTGCCTCCACCCGTTCCAGGTGTGTTATAGCATTCTGTAATATTTACGTGCTCGCTTGCTATCCAAGTGAATAAAGCCTCATCTGTACAAGAATATCAGTCGACGGTAGGCAGCACATTTCAATCCAAAAACTCACTACTACTGATATTAAGTTCTTGCATGGCACTATCAAGGATCCATCCTTGCTCAGGTCCCTGAATCGACGAAAGGTCTAACGATTTTGGTTGGTACGCTGTCATTAAAGCGGTATTGTTTGAGGTTATCTGGGCCTGTAAAATTCATGTTTAAATTTTTCTCTAGTTGTGAGGGAAGAGAATGATCACCCACTTCATGGAAATCAGCGAAGGTTTGTCCTGTTTCACCCGTGAGATTGGTGGTGCTGGTTGGAGAGAAAATTAGATTAACCGGAAGCCGACTTGTCGTGTGACAACTCACAAATTGGCGACCAACTCGTAGTTCGAGTTTAAGAGAATATCATACCCACTCCCTACACCAGCCGCTGTTGCTGTTCCGGTCCAAACGATGATGTGTGGTTCATTGAGATATGTGACAACTGAAAATGAAAGGGTTTGGCCATAGATTGATCCATCCCATATTAAGGAACCAGTTTGGTCGTAGATGGCAGCACCTTGACGTAGGACGGAAGCACCTGAATGAATAAATAGGCGATTGGGTTCGGGAATTCTCAACGTCGCATACCACGTACCTCGAGGAGCAGAAAAGATATATCCCGTCGACAACGACGGTGCGCTCGCGCTTTCATTGACCGGAACGACAAAGTTCCATTCCGCACTGGAGATATGGAGTTGAAAAAAACACGCGACCTAACACAAATCATGCGTACGGTGTATAATTCGCCGAGAAATAACTTTGGAAAGGCCCATATCCCAACGCGCCTATAGAATACTCATTGCTCCGGAAGAGAACTGAGTCCCCTCGAACGGAAAATAAAAAGAGACAGAGCACAAGCCCACGAGCAATGAACGTTGAGTAAAAAGAGCATCTGACGCTGCTCATCGGATGAAGTAGGGGTGGGGGAAAGAGAAAGACTGTGTAAAAGTCAATTTAGTATTTATCAGAGGCTTTAATTTTCCATTTACACACGAATCAATTCGTGAAATCGGGTGGAAAGACCTATGTAGTATGCTGCGCAATCATTGTCAGTTGCAAAGATGGCGATCAACGACGTTGAGTAAAAGAGCATTTCATCTCATGGGAGCCGGCCACTCTCTCACGAAGATAAAATAGAAGTGGATGAAGTGTATACTGGACTTCCAATTGCAAGTTGTCGTCAGGAAGAACAAGCGCGCCGAAAGCAACCCCGGAGTTACCAAAAAGCTCGAGATGAAATTATCCGACCCGGCGGGAAGAAAACGGAACCAATGCGGTGATTAGGCACATCTATTTTTACTGGCCTATAAATACAAAAATCAGATACAGGTCCAAGTCCTAGAATGTCATAGAGCAGTGCAGCACAACGGGTGGGTAAAGGGATAGAGTGATAGTACTACTTAGGTATGAGGTATTGTACTGATAGGTATGCAATAAGAAGTCGATCGGGACAAACCGAAGAGGGGAGAGGGGAGGGGGAAGGCCAAAAGTAGATAGATTATACCAAAACAAGTATACAGATGAAGTACTTGAGTATGTCGGGAGAGTGAGCGGATACGTTCAATCGAAGGAAAGACAAGGAGACAGACAAGAGAAGCAATATGTTGGATACGGTCTCACCAGCATGCGGCTCTAAAAATGGGGGAGAAATTATCAATAAACATTGTCCCAGAAAAAAAGTCCAAGAACGAGGACAAGCCTCAGAGTCACAATAAGGATAAGTATGATGACACAACATATATCTAGCCTAGAGAAATCATCAAAGGTCCATCATGGAACCAACGAGGCAGGCGATCGCTGCACAAACGATTCCCCCAAATCCATAAGCAGAAGATACAGCGTTGTTACTTTTCGAGTCTGTTGAGCCGGTCGATGTCGACGATGACGATGATGAAGTACTAGTGGTGGTAGTATTAGGATTTGTCGAGACACCATTCCAATAATCCCTGATAATGGTAGAGGCTTGTTCTGCGAGACCATAGGTGGGGGCACCAAGCTATACAAAGGAGATATTAATACCGAAGAATTGAGACAGACACTGGAACGTACATGGCTCGATAACTCGAATGGATACACACTCGCGTCTGCCACTCTGACGTTCGAGGTACCATAGACAAGCAATGACGGGCTAACAACACCACCTAGTTCAAGCGGAAGCATCGCACATGTTCCTGTGGGGTGATATTCGGTTCCTACGGCTCCCTGGATCCAAGTATCCCATTCGGCGTCCGTGCTCACAGAAGATCCGGGAGTGGTTTCACCTGTGAGGTACGTGGAGAGTGGAGAAGCCTGCGAGACGAGACGCGCCATTTTGAAGCCTTCACGCAGGATAGTGAGGTCGGCGTCATGTACCAGATAGTTAGGATTGATGAAAGGATAGTTGAAAACCGAGTCGGAAGTGATGTAGAGCTCGCCAACACTGGAAGAACAAATTAAATGAATTTCCGAGTTAGAACCAGATGATATCTCACCTCAGAGGATGCTGGATCGCGGCCTGAATCAGGACACTGGTACTCGTGATACTCAACAACAACTCGATCTGGCCACTGTTACTCGAATAGAACTGGTTGGTGATGGTGTCGTAGATTGCCTTGTAACCTGCGGCAACGGTGGAGTCGCCTAATGGGAGCAACGACGATGCGGACGAATCAACTTCTGCTTGAGCTGAAGATATCAGAGCAGAAGCGCTATCTGATCCGAGAAGAGTTGTCAAGTTGACGTAGGCGGTGGCAGAGTTGATGTAAGAGAGAAATTCTGCTGTGGCTACGCCGTCTGCGTGAAGGTCTCCAGCTGTCTCTGCAGTAGTGCTATAAATTAAGCTTCCACTCTAAAGGGAGACGCAATTATAAGGAGGCTAAATTTATGTATTGAATTGAAGGACTCACCAGATGGTCTTGTAATCGTTGTCCAACCCCAGGAAGGTCAAGCTGAACGTCCACACCTGCGGCCTGAAGATACTTTGACGGTCCGACTCCACTGAGCTGTAAGACTTGTGCACTTCCGATAGTGCCGGCAGCAAGTATGACCTCCTTGTTCGCGTTCACGGTCTGCTTCGCGGCTGTCGAAGAGGACGCCCATTGCACCCCGGTGGCAGTCAGATTACCGGATGTTCCCGAACCCCAAACGATATTCGTAACAGTCGCAGAAGGGAGAATGTCAAGATTAGATCTGGGAGGCAAGGGATCGATGTAACCAGAACGGGAGTATGAACGAGTCCAATTGGAAGGATTGATAGAAGAGGTTGTGATATAAGCACCGGAATTATCGCCTGACGCAGAATCGGGATTACTCGGAATGCCAAGTGTGGCGAGCGTAGGCGTCCAGTTTCCGACGATATTGAAGGTTTCTCCAGGATATGACCAATGAATGGGTCCACTGGATCCATGGGACGCGGCATTGTACTGGATTCCAGCCTCAGCTGCGATGTCAGAGGAAGGTGCACCAAAAGTTTCGCTCTTCTTCATAGCGGCGTTGTACGAGTCCCAGGCCCAAAACTCATCGGTATCGTTAGGATTGATAGCGTGGATGGCATTGATCTCAGGCTCGTTGGGTCGAACGAGATACATGCCGTTGATAGCAGAAGATCCACCAAGGACCTTGCCTCGCGGCCATGATACGTTTCGGTTAGAGCATCCTGTTTGTTCGGCGGTCTGGAATTCGCGTTTTAGAAACGATGATTGAGGAAATGGGGTCAACTCTCACCTGATACGCGTAATCATATTCGGAACCAACGAGAGAGGAATAGTAGGTGTCAGCCGGCGTATCTATACCGCGATGAGAAAAAGAAGCGTTTAAGTGTGCAGTGACTAACTGATTTGTGTAATGTTCGCATCGCCAGATTCTCCGGCTTCCAATACGAGCACGGTATGGTTCGAATCCTCGGACAACCTCGAAGCTAGAACCAACCCAGCCAGACCACCTCCTACGATGATGAAATCATACGAGCTTTGAATTGCAGAACTATCCGAAACTATATTCCTTGCTCGCAGATTGTGGACATCTCTTCTTCGGTGAGCCTCAAGAGGGTCGGTAATGGCGGATGCAAAGCATGTTGAGAAAAGGTATGTTGAAGAGAGTGTGAGGATAGTGGCCTTAGGGATGGACCACATATCGTAAGGGGTCGTAAAATTATTGTAGACCGAGTGAAGCACAAGCAGGAGTCGAGAGGGCAAAAGAGTTGGTGAAGGAATTTCGATCGCTGTTTATAAGGTACCATGCAGTGAGAGTCTGGACTTTGATCGACGGTACAATTTTGCCGCATTGATCAAAACGATTGAATGATGTCAGCCTGGCCACCCCCTCGACCATCCCGGACCCGTTTCTACCCGTTCATAGTTGACATGAAGCTTGGCCATGGTAACGGTCAAAAATTGAAGAAACCTGGGTGTATGTAGAGTACAGGATATATCCTGCACATGCAACAATTATGGACGAGTCTACCTAGATCTTCACCGGCACCTGCTGAGACCTGCTGCGCTGACCACCCCAGAAACAAGCTGCGAGTACAAAAATAAAACTCTGCGTGCGGTATGAGTATCCACCGAATATCAAACTACTTGTCATCGCTTTCAATACACAGACGAAACATCGCTATGCCCTGGTCAAACCACACGCACAAATAAAATAATGGTCCCACGGAAAATCCAAATGGCTTCCGAGCACTTTCAAGGTAGTTCCTCGAACAGGCCGTTCTCTGCTTGCTCGGGTTGCTTATTGAAGACTTGGTTCAACGCATATACCACGTTGCGAGACGTTGTAATGACATGAAGCTAATGTCGGAAAGTCCTGGGAATAGACGGCCTAAACCTCACACCGTTTGAGGGCAAATTACGATAGCAGGAAATGGAAACGAGTGTCATAGAATGTCACCTCCGAGGAACCAGCGAACGAAAATCGGCGCAGGAACTAGAAGGAGCTTGATACTTTGATACTGTAGACCTCATCGGAGGGAAGAAGGGATTGCGAGCTTGATTAATAGTTACATAGAATTTGACCATAATGACCAATTGATCGTCGGTCAACATCCTAGATGAAGAATATCAGGCTCTTCCGCACGCAGCAACGGAAAACATCTATGGAGTTGATCACGATCCTCCGCTCGCGCCACAACTTCAACTGAATCTAGCCATGGCATGGCACGAACAACGGGTATTAAGGCCCGGTCTAATTCAAGCAGGAAGGTTGAGTCCACAGAAATCAAAGTCGGATGAAAAGAGAAGATAATCTTTCGAAGAGAATGAAGAGTCTTGAGGGAGATGAATGACAGAGGCCAAGACACAGGCCGAAAAGAGGCTTCTGTATGATAATCAATCCCGAGGGTGAGAATATTGGGACAAGTCTCTGGGATGGTATCTAGAGCGTATAAATGGTTACTTTTAATGAAATAGAGTAGCAGTATCCCTCACCATGGAAAGAATCAACAGATAAATGAAGGATCTTCGGGAAAATGTCAAATCTAGAACCGTTGTCCATTGAAATTTCAGACAAGCTGCTCTTGACGACTTCGAACCTGACTCCAGATAGCTTCAACGTATGGATATTTTCGAGATCCATCAGTTCCAGAGACGCGGGAGCCAACCCCACGCGTCCCAATATGTTCTCTGCTTGCCTGATGTCCCAAGTACACCAAGCTTCTATGCTCAGTTCATGTATGTCCACTCTGGTGATAGAAATAGAGATAGGCTCCCGACTCGATGTCTTTTCAACATTCAACATTATTTTGAACAGAAAGGGAAACTGTTTCCCCGGGCGACATTTTCTGAGGATATTGACCAAATGAAGAGGAGCCACCTGATAATCAAGGAAGACCACCCTATAAAAGGCCAGAGTCCGGAGTCTAGATGAGTGACGTTTGATTAGAGCGGCTAAGGGGGAGACGCATGGACTTTCCGAGCCAGATGATCCGCTTGCCAACGAGAAACGAGCAACAGTGAGGTTGCGGAGGCGAGGGAAGACAAGATTGTGCATTTGCTTCAAGCCCTGCGATAGAATCGATTGGGAGAAGTACCAATCGATCGTCAAGTCTGTGACCTTGGTATATATATCTGGGATACCTAGAATCTTTGCGAATGCGTCCTTGATCATGAAATCATCGAATCCGTAATGTCGAGTAGGATGAATGGGTATTCGACCTAATAAACAGGCAGGAGGGACAGTTATGGTGGAAAACAGACGTCTGGAGCTAGCAACTCGCCAGCGGTGGCATACTAAAGAGCATGACTGGACATCTTTGTGGTTTTCCAGTAAATTTAGAATGATTTCAATGAGCTCTTGAGAAAGGATGTTCGCATCGGTTTCAAGAGTAGCGCTCATTCCAAGCTCCACCAGTTGAGTCGTGGATGATTGTTAAAGCCCAGAAACTCGCACAGGAAATTAAGGAGGCCCTCGTACTTAGTAGCACAGTTCGTTTCGCGAGTCGCCAACTCCACAATTCCGAGCAGACAAGGAGTGAAACGTAAACAATATTTACATAAGCGCGCGCGCGGGTGTTAGACGCCGTCATTCAAGATTAAAACCAACACGGCAATTTCAGATGTACAAACAAAAAAATCTTCCTCGTTTGAAACAAAGGTGATACAAAAGAGGATACTACTAAATAGAGCGAGAATATTATATCAAGAGCAAAACAGGAGTGATTTCAGCAAAGAAAATGACGAAGAACATCAAGAGAACTCAATGCAAGACTTATCTAATCCAAACGGCGTTTACTGTCCGATGGACCCTCGTTAGCATTGAGACGCGCGGCGGGATCGAAGTGGGGAATTAGGGTTGAATGCGCTAGATGACTGTTTGAATGCATTCTTTACTACCTCATATAGCTGCTTGTCTTTCGTCTTCAAGGTTTGATCCAGTTTATCCAAGTCGGTAAAATCAACACTAATGTGATGGTTAATGAAGGACGCGACCGCCCTGCCAGTCTGGGTGGGCCAGAAATCCTTGAAAGTACCCTTGCACTTCGCAAAATCTTTCTCGTAATCCGGGTAATCACGCTTGATATTCTGCCAACGTCGGCCTGCTTGCTGCTGTAACTTCCTTGTATTCTGTTGCTCATCTGTCATGTGCGAGTGATATGGAGTTCCTTTCGTCGGGTATTGCGGCGATGGGGAAACATCACCAGAAGCACGACGCTCTACATCGACGGGAGGATGGACAGCATGTTGTATGCCTATTAATAGAGCGGTCTCGTCAATCCCAGCCTAAACATGAGTAAGCGTATCAGTGACCGGGAAACACCAGAAAGTATAACACTAGACTAACCTTGTGCGGCATTCCCATGGCATGGTCGAACTTCTATTTTTGATTGCATTAGTTGAGTAGGGACCGAATTTGAGTGAAAACCCAACCTTCTGCTCCAACGAGACAGAAACAACTTCGGCTTGGTGATGGTGAACGTACTAAAAACAGAGTTTAGGTTGGGGAAGAGAATACGGATGAAACCTAGATAATGACACATACACCATGAAAATTGTGGGGATGGTGGTGGTGATGCTCAACACCAAGCCCTCCTTCGACATAGTTATCCTCAATCTTCACCTCGAATTCGTCGTCACCCTGGTGGTGGCTGTGAGGGTGATGTTCCTCAAACTCAAACTCAAACTCGTCTTCGCCGAGAAGTTCATGGTGACGATGACGCGGGCCACCAAATTGATCCTCATGATGGCGATGAGAATATTGCTACGATGTTTATGACAATCATGACGGATTAACGCTACAGAAAAGAGTGAGACTGACCCAGTGAGGTTCTCCGACATTGTCGAATCTGCGGTCATCGAGATCCCGCGCGTTGATAGGAACAGCAAGAGCAGAAGAAGCTGCTCCAGCAGCAATAAGAGCTGTGATTATAGAACAAGAAAAGACCATGATTTCGTTGATGTAACTGATTTGTCTAAAGACTGAAATTGTTGAGTGGGTGAAAAGCCGCGATATGTGGAAGGGAAGAAGAGGCCAGCTCTGTCAGACTAGAGAGAATATGTTGATGGTCTTATACCTTTCCGTGGTGTCCACTGATGCGGATCTACAATCATCCCTGCAAAGAGATCCGCCGGGATGCTCAAATACGCCCTGATGTGCCCCCGAATAGCACCGGAAAGTCTTGGGGGGTAGCCAGGGGTAGCCTCAAGGCTCAGATAGCAGCAGATAGCCTTAACGTGAAATTTTCCATTTAACCGGTGTTAGAACGTACCATACGATATCACACTCGAATGAAATTTGAGTTGCTAGGATTTAAGATGCGTCTAGTAACCGTCTGAATACTCCCATTGTTTTCTCGGGCTCATCCCAATGCATCTGATACATAGTATGTTATATCAGCGTAAGCCTTCCCTGTAAAAGATTCTCAAGAATCACTCACGAAATGGTTCACGCCATTTATAATCATAGATTGTATGAATTTCCCTTTCTCTCCCTCTCCCGCCTTCATATCATCGTCCTCAATCTCCCAAAAGGTCGGCCAGACGAATGAGTAAGATTTATCCCCGATGACTTCCCATACCGTCACCATATTCCTCAGCGCAGGATTAATTCGTAGCTTTTCATCATAACACGCCTTCAAGTAAGTCTTTCGGAGTTGATGTTGGAGAACTTTTGAAAAGTACAGATCGATGCTGGATTCTGGCGTCAAAATGACGTTCTCGTCGTGTTCCTCTGCAGTGAAAGTGTAGATTGAAGGCATTCGGGAGATGCCTGGAACGATGGTATTTAGCGCGGCAATACGGTCGCGATTGGCCAAGGTTTTTTGGCTGTAGTCGTAATAGCCTGTGATAAGATGGCTGAAGAGCGGTGCGCGAGCTGAGTAAGGGATGTTGGGATCGCGGAACGCAAGCCACGTTTCTGGAGGAATGGAAAGACCAAGACCCGTGAGCGCGGGCTCTGCATGTACCATGGTTATGTTAGAATAAGTAAACAATTTTACAGCAAAATCGTTGCTCACCTAACATGATATGAGCACGTAGATACTGTCCAACCCGATCTCGCATGTCGTTAGAGACCAACGAGGAATCTACGTTCGCGATCGCCGAAAGGGAAAATGTGGCCCCCAAAGACCAGCCAATGATAGCTAGTCCACCTTTCCGGGTCTTCCCATTACCATCCACCGTCTGACTGTTGTCTTGAATCGGAGGAATTCCAGAACGTTGAATAAAGCCATCGATGAACTGTAAAATCTCCACGCCTCGAAGCTCTAGGATTTTCGCCTTGGCCTCGTCGGTAGCAAAAGCTTGAGAGCCATCGTCTTCGGTGAAAAATAGTTTCTCATCCTGAGTGAACGGGGTGGAGCCAGAGAAACCTCGTCGGCTTGGCGCCACGACACGTATATTGTACTGTGTGTTCAGAGGTAAGAGACGTTTGAATATAGCTAGAGAAAAAGTGAGAAAAGACCCTGTTATTGATATCTATTGAAGAAATCACCCACCGTTGCTGAAAGAATTACCATGGATGAGGATAATAGTTTCGTAGCTCGATACAGAGGAGCTGGGAGGGCCACTATCTAAATATGACAAAACGACATTGGATGTAGGGCTCAGAAGGATCTGGTCGGTGAAGAACATGGTGAGAAAATGAACGAAGTTAGCATGTACATGTACATTGGACTCACAAACAAATCATTGGTCAACCAATCGGTGAATGATGATCCAAATCCTGCGACGCTGATGGTACGGCAGCTTCCAACGGGAGCTGAACGGGGACATTCAGGGATGATTCGATGATAACCGTTGTTGCGCTGAAGCCAGGCTGAAGCTTTAGGGTCTTGTTCAAGAGTCAAAAGCCGGAAATTCCGTTGATTATATATAGCCTCTGCTCAAGGTGACGGCATTTACTGCATCGCGTATTGTCGCGTTCCAGTGTCCCCAACTGGTCCCCAATCCGAAAAGCCTTCTCTCATCAATGACGACTCCTTCAACACCATTTCAGATATCTTGTCCACCCGGAAGGTGGTCGAAGTTTTAATTGGAATACCTACATAGATCATTGCGGGTCTTTTCAAGTTCTTCTAAGATTGCTACCTTGAAAGTTGAAGCATGTCAGAAGCAGTCTTCGTTCCAGTATGTATGTTATTTCCCTACTATCATCGAGCCCTGATTCTGACCTTGTTTGGCTAGCAGATATAGATAGATAGATACAGTGTTCCAGAACTCAACTACAAAGGTCTTCCCAAAGTTCTAACTTTCCTCCGCAGCTCACGATCAGAATTCTCCTGTGGACGCTCTCCAAAGGCCATGAGGTCTGGTCAGCGTTTATTTTAGTGATGTAAATCCGATAAGGTCGTTGCACTCGCAAAGTGGGCCCTCTTATAATTCATCCTTGCTTAGCCTTCAAGTTTGTTGTTGTTCTTAACCATCATCTCATTTCTAATTGCACCTCCCTTTTCGAACTTTTTTTTTTCTAATCGTTACCAGCAACGTCAACATGGCAGTCAGTTGGCGTGAACGAGTAGATACAGCGTCCGCTATCAAAGGCATCCTTGATAGCTATCCAAGCAACTCTATTTTACGCGAAATTCTGCAAAATTCAGATGATGCTGGAGCAACCAAACAGGTGTTCGATCTCCAAGCAGCATCAAGTCTGAGCATTGACTAGCTCTTATGATAGATATTTGTTCTAGATCATCGCGAACATGGAACCAAAAATGTCGTCGAAGATGTCCTCAAGCGTACTCAAGGTCCAGCTCTACTTGCAGTCAATGATAGTGTCTTTACCAAAAGTGACTGGGAAGCGGTCCGCACTATTCATGGTTCAAATAAGTCGGCAGACGAGACGTATGTGGACACTGTTTTGTTTGTGACTTCCAGTGCGTTTGACGTTACCCAACTACAGTAAAACAGGAAAATACGGATTAGGAATCCGAGCGTGCTATCATGTATGTTGTGAGATGATTTGGTGACCTTTTTGCTTCTAACCGTTCATTCCTAATGTCAGGTTACTGATAACATCCACATCCTCTCTGGAAACCAACTCGTTATCTTTGATCCTCATGAGGAGTTTCAAACTCACCCGGGTGGCCTTGCACTCTCATTGAACAAGGCAGACCCTTATCAGGACCAAATCTCAGCTTTCTCTGGTGCTATCCCAGATATCCCGCACAGTTTCTTGAAGGCCACTGTGGTCCGATTGCCGCTTCGTACGACTGTCGAAGCTCAAAGGAGTAAAATCAAGCCCTCGATTGTATCAACCTCCGATATCCAGGTGCTTTATCAAAGTTTTATTCAAAATGAACTCTCCGTCGCGCTCTTGTTCCTGAAGAACATCATGTCCATTGAGCTTCGAGAAATTACACGCGAAGGACTAGACACCCTCGTCGCCAAGGTTGAAATATCCAACACATATATTGCTTCCCTCAGGCAATTCATGCCCGGACACAACGACCATTCCGAGAGCTACAAGCTTGACATTTCAACTACTGTTGGCGGAAATACCCCATTCCTCCAGAACTGGCATGTCGTCCACGGTGTTGTCTCTGAAACTTCTGTTAAGGCAATGATGACAACTCGTCTCGGTTATGATGTCGGGGAACGTCTACGAAAAGACAAGCTGTCATCACACGTGGCGCTGGCACTTCCTTTGTCCCACAAAGTTCAAGGTCGACTTTTTACTCTCCTGCCTCTACCAATTTCGACAGGTTTCCCGATTCACGTTCACGGAATATTCGCTCTTACTCCTGACCGGCAGAGTCTTCGGAATTCTGAAGAGCTAGGGATTGGAACTGAATCTCGCGAAAGGTGAGTCTCTGGGGTATGTGGTGAACATACACTCACAAGGACATGCTTTACAGACTTCTTGTGACTTGGAACCGTGTCTTTTTCGAAGAATTGATCCCCAAAGCTTGGGCCTCCTTACTGATTTCTAAACTAGTTCAGAACAATGATGTAGAAAACATTTGGGATGCCTGGCCACCGAAACCAGAGGACATTCTCATCACGCCTGTGAAGTCTATGCTTGACTTTGTTACTAAGGAAGCTCTTGCAAGCAGAGACAAAATATTTCCGGCTTATATTTCCGGGAAACGCATTTTTATTAGATCCAGCGATCCGGCGTTGATAGCCTCAGTTTCCAATGTTGGCCAGAAAGTGAGAGAGGCAGTTTCCAGGACTGGGATTGCTGTCATTGTGCCTCCACTTTACATCTTCTCAGCGATACGATCATATGTTGGGTCTCAGGACCATATGTATGAATTCCACCTCTTTAACCCCCCAAATCTTCACAGATTCCTTCAAGTATGTTGCCTTTCAAGGTATATATTTTGATAAACTCATCCATTGAACATCAGGAACCAAATACTATACTGGGAACGGACTCGGATAAAGATCGAATTCTGGACTACCTTATTGCGACATCACCCGACTACATTATAGGCCTGCCTCTCATTCCAACCGTCCATGGAAACCGTATTTCTTTGTCACAACCCACAGGGCAGTCAAAACGTTACATTCTGGGTAGTGCTACTGAAGTGGAGCTGTTCCGTACATGCGAGACGAGTATGATTGATCTATCCTCATTGCCCGAAAACGCTCAGAGATGGCTTGAGCAATCGGACATTGGGACAAAATTGAATGTTGCCCGGTTGGGACCAGATAATTTAAAGGTGTATTTGATGAAGCTCCTCGGAATACACTCAGCCAAGGCTCGAATTATGCCTTCTTCCGTGCGACTTTCCCCCTCATGGTTTCGTTTATTTTGGGACTGGATCGATGGTCTACTTAATGCAATTGATTTTTTGGAAACTGCAGCATGCTTCCACCTACTCCTCCTGCTCGATGGTTCTCTCTGCCCAGTCTCGGAAAAGGCATTCATAGTGTCTGATGACCAGACAGAGCTTTTCAGAGTATTGAAGGTTGCAGGCATCCCTTTCCTGGATCCACATATTGCATCTACAATGGCACTTTCCTGTCATGGATTCACGATGTCTATTGACAATATTCGAGAACTGATAGGCTTCATCGATCCAAGTGACATCCAGGGCCACATAGATTGTCTCATCCTTCAAAGGCATCTCATTGGATTAATCCAACGCTCCACCCCTGTCTTGACTCCTGCTGAGCGAATGGTTTTTCGTTCACTGCCGATATTTCCAAGACGTCTTCCTCAAATTTCTGCACCTATCACAGAACTAGATTCCGTGACAGGTCAGCTGAAACTCGTCGCTGTCCCAGATGACTTTCCACTCCCAATTCTCCAGCATGTGACCTTCATCGACATGTCGAAAGCTTCCAATGTTCTTGGCCTGCTGATTGAGCCAGATGCTCCAATTCTTAACGAAGTTGCCATTATGGCACTCTCTATCCAGCATCTTTCGGAGCAGCCAGAAGCATTTCAAGATCTCCTCGTGGCGAAAATCATCCCCCGTTTACTTGAGCTTACGCAAGAAACCCGAGAAGGACTTCGCCATCAGCGGTTCGTCCCCGCCGTTGGTTCTTCAGGACGGGTGTCTCCAGCCGACATAATCGATCCAAATTCACTCCTCTCGGGGTTATACCAAGACGAGCAGGGCCGATTTCCAATGCCGCCGTACTCTGATCACATACCCTTGTCAATCATGCGGACAGCGGGCTTATATTCTACAAAACTCTCATCTGTGATGCTAGAAGAGCGTATCCAGTATATTTCATCGGGAGGATCAGATCCTTCCCGCATCGCAAAGGCGAAGATCCTGCTTGGGTTATTATCTGACAGCGGCCAGTGGAATCCTTCCTTCGTCAAGACTGTGGAGACTGATGATGAAACTGCCTGGATACCAAACACCGTAAATACGTTGGTTTCAAGACAGAGATGTAGGGACGTGAATTCAGGAGAGCACCACTTCCTCTTTGATTTTGTCCTTGACAGTGTAGCTTGCAGAGTTTCTAAGGATGTTCGAAGTGCTCTTGGCTGGGAATCAGAGCTCTGCTTCGACATTCTATACCAACAATTCCAAGCTACACTTGAACGCTCGAATGTGACTGACCGTTATGACCGATTAACACATCTCATCAAATATATTGCAAAACAACATCTAGATGGAACGTTTACAATGGGCAACATCTGTGCCTTACAAACTCTAGTTGAAGGTCGCCGCTGGATTCCTCTTTCCGATAACAGCCTAGGATTGACTCATCATGCACTGCTAACCTCCAATCTTAAAATTGGGAACATGTTCCAGTCCATTCGGTCAACCATACTTAGATCTGATAATCGCAGTTGCATCGACTTTTTGCGAGCCATGGGCTGCACCGAACGGTGAGCAAAAACTTTCGTGTATCACCCAAGTTCCAAATTGACCCTTATTGTACTTAGACCAATGATGAATGCACTCATCGAAGATATCCCTAATTCCGAAACTCTGGATGAACTCGTAGCAATCCTATCAGAGCTATCTTCACGCGAAGGCGAAATAGAACAATCTCTGCGTGAACGTATATTCGTTCCAGATCACCAAAACGCTCTGAGAAAGCTATCTGAAATCTACTTCAATGATATGAACTACACTATTCCAACTGATGACCTTTACCCTCTCCATCCAGCGATTTCGAAAACGATTGCATCAAATTTAGGTGTTCCCTTTTTATCCTCTTTGCAGCTCGACGAGCAGGATGACCTGGACGTGGATGATGAAGACATGTCCGAGTCATTGATCTTGCGCATCAAGAATGTGCTTGTTGCCTATGATAAGCGATATGCATTCAATGAATTTCTTGCCAATGCAGTGGATGCTGATGCTTCTCGCTTCAAGGTCCTCCTCGATGCCAAGCGTTTCAATGGTGATCCTATTGCTTTACCGAATTCCATGCTTTGCCCAGAGATGGCAGCCTGCCAAGAGGGACCGGCACTGGTTCTTCATAATGATGCAAAGTTCTCGGAAGCTGATTTCAAAGGCATCAAATGTATCGGAGAAGGTGGAAAGCAGGATCGAAATGGAACAATTGGCAAATTTGGTTTAGGTGCTCTGTCTTTCTATCACTTCTCCGAGGTAAGCTGATAAATATATTGTTCGAATCATGGAACCCTCTGACCCCACATTCGTTCTAGATCGCCTTTATCATATCCGGAGAGTTTATCCTCATTTTGGATCCCTCGGCGGCACATTTACCCAAAAAACAACGTCAAATGCGGCGCTCCATTCGTTCTAGATTGACGCAATTTCGAAAGCGGACGGTATAATTTCGCGTTCCGCCGGTGCGTTCTGCGTTCCGATGGATTTGCGTTCGAGTTCATTGCGTTCAAATAAGTGCGTTCGCGTTCAATGTACCTGCGTTCACGTTCAATGTAACTGCGTTCGGGTTAAATTTATAACATTTTGACTGAATCATTTCAGACATTGTGTACAATGAAACAACCTTAATTTACATTCATACCTTTCAGTGAATTTACTTCGAAAGATCTATATTAAATTTTTCTCAAGTTGAAACAACCCTGAAAATACCCGAGAAATTGATGGGTTATGAACGAAGTATAAGAGAGAACTCGAGAAATCTTCGGTACCCTTTCCCCATCCAATTCCCTGCAAGTTGAATATTGTAACACAATGAGTTGGTTTGTAAGTTGAATTTATAGTATCACAAATGGTCAGAAAAATGTCTAAGTTGAGATATTTTATTAGACCAAGCTCCGAAAATTCATTGCACAAACAATTTATTCTGGTTCTGATGATGAAGAATCAATGAAACCCAAAAAGACAGTGAGCATTATGGGGCCTACCACTGAAATGCACACTTTGCCAGTGTTTGATGAAAATGGTAAGTCTTGAATGCTATATCTGTTCCAAGTCTAGTTCCTAATTTAATGTACAGGAATTCAAATTGGATTCCAACAAGTTAATCGTCTCATATCTCAGACTCAACCCACCGGAAATTTAGTGAAATCCCAACCAAATATACATCCCTCCCAGCCTGCTTCTGATTCTCTCCACCCTAATTCCAAAAATTGGACCAGTATTCCTTTGATTGACCTTTCAAACCCTGCTGCACTTACAACCTTCATTCCTCTCGATCCCCAGCCACTCTCAGTTTGCGAACTTGATCAAGGTGTTATTGCAACCTTACTTGGTAATCTACAAGGTGGTGAATGGGATCCTTGGCCGAATGGTCGATTTCGATTGGATCTTACTCACACTGAGTATATGGCTACTAAGCGGCTGGCAGTTCAATGGGCTACTAAAAGTAACACTACTCGGAGCCGAAACTCCTCTGTTGGATCTTCAACTATTGCAGGTGGGAAGATATTGAACAAAAAATGCCTTGGTGTTTTGATATGCACAGTTGAGGGTTGTCAATTTATTGGACGGCCTCAGGTTGAGTCTGCTGGACTCCAGAAACAGCTTTCAGCTAGGTGTCACTGTGGTGGTCAATTGAAGCATGACCACTGTTCTTCACGGTCGTACCTTATCACCTGGGGTCAGCAGGATGGTGACATTTCGACAACACAGTACAGATACATCAATGGTACTGCTCATACCCATAGCCGGCTTCCAGGTGTTGTGCGCACTACAGCAGCAGAGGATCAGCGTTTCCGCACAGTATACGAAAATAGACCTAATGCGACCTCCACTCAGCTTATGGTTGGTGCCCCTGCTCCACAAGGCTTTGGACCTAGTGCTGCTGATCTTGGGCAGAAGTTCTCACAAAGGGCATACACTAGCTATCGGCTGAATCAAGAGAAGAAAAAGGATGGAAATGGCCCTACTAGTGCATTTGGAAACCTGCAGAATCTGCAGAAGTGGAAGGGCAAGCATTCGACAGTTCTTTGCAAAGATTATGTCAGCTCCGATATAGTCTGTATTTCTCTTCAAACTGAGTGGATGCAGCAGCAGACCTTACCTGATATGTCTGATGTTGGTGATCCACTTCATGGGTTGCTCTCTGATGCTGCTCACAAGTATTGGGAAGATCCAAATGGGCGCCTCATCGTTACCTCCATCTACTCCCCTCTCATCGAAAAATGGGTTCCCGTCCTCTTTACATATGGGAATGGTGCAACAATTGCTCATTACGAGTATCACTTCCTTATTCTCATTGAAGGCATTGCTGCAACTGCATTGCAAAAAAACATTCCTATTACTGATAGCCTTTTCGCAAGTGTGAGTGCAATATTCTTTTCAAATGACATAAGTTTTACTAAAGACATAAATACAATAGCTTGTTGACTTTAGTGATCCTCAGCGAATCGGTTTTGTTGGTGCATTTGTCACTTACTTTCAGGCTCAGGCCAGTGATACACGCTCAGAAAAGGATTTACAGCTTGCTGGTCAGGCTTTGATCAAAGGGTGCCTCTATCATTATCACAAAGCTGTTAACCGAATGAGCCGGATTGGTGATGCAGTTCCGCAAAATACCAAGTCTGAGTTTCAGAAACTTTGCCGTTCCCTTCCAGAAATCACAGATGTGAAACATTTTGATGACATAGTTTCCACTATTCAACAACACTGGCCTCGTGTATCCCGCTGGCTTAGCTGGTGGTTGATGTCTGAGCATGCTGGAATGCTCTTTCCCTGCAAGCTAACTATGGCTGCTGACCTGGCTGCCAAACTCCCAGCAACAACAAATGCGGAGGAAGCCATGCATGCAACTATCTACCGTGCTGTAGGGATTAATCACCCATTACTCAAGGGACTCGATGGACTTCTTGCAGTTGAAAAACTTTTCCGCATTGAATCACAAAATGCCTTATGTATGTATACATCTTTAACCAAATGATTAACTGATTCAATTTCAATATATACAGTACATGTCAAATCACATTACGGAAAATCAGGACGTGAACTTAGGAAGGAACTATATCAGCAGCATGGAACTACTCATCCTAGCCGTAAGCATCCACGGGGTGCTGCAAAGGAGCGTCGGCGAGGCCGCCGTGAAGGAAACCCACCTTTTTGGCAATTAAAAAAATCTTCTTCTTCACTCAAACGTCATCGACTTGTCCGAGCTAGCACCAAGCGCCCAATTTCACACTCTGGTTCTGATTCATCATCATCTGAGCATCTTCCACCATATCCCCACCACTCCCATGTCATTCCTTCCTCTGATGATTCAGACAATGAACCTGCCAAAACTGCGAATGAGTTGCATAAGGCTCAGCAGAAAATACAGTTGATGTCTCCAACCAAGTTGAATGCTCGCCCTTCTCAGCCAGACTTTGGACCTATCAAATCGACTACAACCTCTGAACTTCCTTCTGCTAAATGGGACAGAAATTCTTGTTGGTTGGATTCAAGTATGGAGGTCCTGTTTTGTGCTATGGCATTTCACAATACTTTCAAAGAGTTTGAAAATCTGGTTTTAACAGAAAAAACTAAAGCCACCCCTGCTCCAATCTACTACCTGTATCTGGCATTCAAATTCCGGCTAGACCAGGGTCTCAACAAATTTCTAGCTCCCTCTCATGGAGAAGCTTCAGAGATTACAGAGGTTCGGAACTCATTTCGGCAAACCTTGCATACTATAAAAGCTGTGAATGGAAAAGTTGGTGAATTCCAAATGGCATTTGTGAGTATCTGAATGGTCCAAATGAATAAACTGTTTCATAACTAAAATATAGGGTTGGCTGTCATATCTGGTTACTGGTCTTGGCAACAATCTTCCCCCCAATCCTGGATGCATCAGCTACTTCACCCCTCATGTTCTAGAGCTGTGGAAGTGTGTACATGGACTCTCTGGAATGGAGCATTGTCGAGTTCAAATGCAACGAAAAGGCCTTGGATGGTCACCCTTAGCTAGCCAGTGGGACCAACATCAGGGAAGTATTCAGAAGTGGTTTTCATCACTAACCCAAGTTCAACCACTCTCAGATGTATATTCTACCTCTGGTTGCTGGAGAAGAGTCTATGAGGATGGGGCACTGGTCAAAGTCTGCTCTGGACAGTCACAACAGTCACAGTACATCATTGACATACCAGTTATTCTGATCATACAGCCTGATGTGTCAGCAGGCAAGCATTGGGACTATCCACTCCGGCTGCTTCCTGGGTCATTGGCAGAAGCTCGTAAAGGTGTTGTTTATGATCTTGTTGGCCGTATCTTCCAAAGTCACAACCACTTTATGGCCCACACATCAGTTCCAACAACTTCTAGGGGGATGTCAGTGTTTGCCTATGATAGTCTAAAGCATCAAGGTTACTCCCAGCGACTTCATGGCAAAGCAAGCAACCTCATTGCAGGAATTTCTCCTCCATGTCCTTTGGGCTTTCAAACCCATGCAGCAGTCTACAAGCTTAAAGGTGGTCTAGCAGGCCAAAATATTTTCAGGACCCGGCAGAAATCAGCCATTAGAAACATCCTAAATATCTCCCTCGACTCTGACCCTCCAACCTTGCATTCTCCTAATTGGATTGAGTGCTCTGTTGATGACAGATCCCACTGGAAAACACGGGAATATCAGCTTAGCCAGCCAAATTTACCAAACTCTATCATGGAAAATGCTTCTTTACCTCCACCTGAAGATATTCTGCCTGAAGGTGCTGACTTTCAATATGGGGATCCAACAGAACTACCTTTCATTCCTTCTCCAACTTCTACTTCGATGGTTCTTGATCCTACTGTGAATCCCTGTACTCCAGAACCTCAAGCCCCTGCCCTTTTCATCCCGGATAGTCCCATTAGCTCTATTGCTTCAAGCTCACCACTCCCTTCCTCACCCCACTATATCCACTGCAGATGTGGAGTTGAGGCAAATGGATATCGAGAGTCCATTCAACAAGACTCTATCCAATGTAGCATATGCAGCAAGTATACCCATACTGCCTGTCTTACAATGCGATTCTATGACAAATCTGCTGAGGAGTTCCTCTGTCATGAGTGTGATGTACAGCAAGAATATGACAACTTCAGTCAATTCAGACATACACTGCCCTATTTGCGTAAACAAAAATTAAACACTGTCAAAAATCGACTTTTGTGAGTAGTTTCTAATATTGTATGAATTTTATCTGATGTAATGTTCTGTATAGCCCAGGGAAGGGTATACTAGTCCGATGTGGAAATGTCTACTATTATCCAGGACGCTTGATTCATTGGGATTCTGATCTGGAGATTGGGATTGTACAGTTGTGGCGGGGTATCAAAAGTAGTTTGGCTAATCAGATTTTGAAGAATATTCCACTAAGAAATATTGTGGATGGCTTGTGGCAGGATCAAGTAGGTCGTCGACAAATACAGGTAAGAGTTTATCTATGAATGTTAGCAATTTCTTCTCACTATTAAGCTTAGATTGGGCTATATACACGACCCCTTGAGGAGAAACTAAACCAACAGGAGGATGCTGATAATATGCTTCTGGATCCCTTTTCAGTCAAATGTACCAAGGAGGTGTTTGAGGCTCTTCATTCTCACCAAAAACTCCTAGGTGAATTGGCCATAGCACCTGAGGATTTTTCAGCAGAAACTGTCCCTTGCTTATCTTGGAAACCTGATCCAAAAATTCAAATCAACCCAACAGTTTATAATGGTGGTCTCCTTGACACAGATCTGGCAGCAATTCATAACTGGATATTTGTTAAACTTCCGCAACCTGCGGAAATGGAGCGCCTGGATATGCTTCACTATACCACTGCTCATGCTCGCACCCTGCTACTTGCTTATCGACACCGGGAAGAATTTCTCAATAGTGCCCCTGACAATTTGGCTGATGTGGACCAGTATATTGTTCATCAAGCATGGAACAGATTGGTTGCATGGACAGGTCTTTCTGTGGATGGAAAATCCAAAAGATCAAAAGGAGCTGATGTCAATTATGAGGCAGTTAGTTTATTGGATAAAATTATGTTTGATGAATCCAGTAGGGCAGGAGTTGCAGGTAATCATCAATGGGGCTTAGATGTTGGACCACATGAGATGGGTTGGAATCCACAGTTTACTGGCCCTAATGTAACTGTAGGAAAGAGGAGAGAGGGAAATGATGATGAAGAAGTACTGGTATGATTTTTCCTCATCATAACTACTAACATTGATAATGTGATAATTTACAGAAAGGGAAAGGATATAATCATGAAGCTGAAGAGGTGGAAAGAAAGAAAGCAAAGCTTACTGAACCATCACACAAACAGCAGAAGAGAAAAGCAAAAGACAGCAATATGGTCAAGGCAGTTAAGAAGAGGAAGAAGCAGTAGATATAAACTTCCATTAATTGCATGTATAGGACAGCACAATTCTCAAACCTGATACAATTGTAGCTAGAACCATATCTGCTGAGCTAGTGTATACCAACCTTTGCTTGTATTATGTTATGGTACAGTCAAACTCTTGGAGATAAGCACATCAAATCAACAATACAATATTATATATTGACCATAAGCTTGCTACGTAAATCCAGGATTAGGGACTTTCCATGTTTTTCCACCTCAGCATCTGTTTTCACTGCTACAGTATGTGATCTAGAAACTGGGAACACATCATGATGAAGTGTTTCAGAAAGAGTCCCTGCATTTGTTGCAATGGCAACCCATAGTTTTTCTTCTCTACATTCTCCCCTTGTCCAGTAAATGCAATGCACTAGTTCACCAAAATGATTCCCTTCTATGATTGCCAGGAGTGATTTGCAAGTACGAGCTGGGGGAACCATGGGCCTTTGAATAACTGCAAGTTCAAGTTGTTCAGTATGCCCTCCCTGCTTCTTGAGTGATACAATTCCATTATCAACATATACCCATTTAGCATAACCTCCATGCAAGGAATGAGTGGGATCAATGAAAACATGCAGTGATTTTTGGTTAAATGCAGGATGCAGTATCCAGTGTAGATCTTGAGGCTTGATTTCCTCTAGAGGCTGTTGATAGTTGTGAATATATCTGGGTAGTTTCCAAGACATGGATGTAAGAAATATTGACTCACCTGAACACCCCAAAAGGTATCAAGAGTAACATCTGAGGCAGTAGGAAATGGTGTGGTGAAGCGAGAAACAACTTCCGGCCCAGGCTGTGGAATATATGGTACATCAAGCTGTGGTGGGAAATAATCTGGCCGGAGATTGTAAGATGTTTGATATAGACCCAATGGTTGAACTTCAGCTAATGTCCTCCAATGTCTAGAGTACATAGCTATATCAAGAATAACACTTCAAATAGAGATATAGACTCACTCGAATTCCCGGATATCATCATAGTCCACTGTTACCAGAGAATTAGTGCCATTAGATGTGTGGGCTGAAAGTTCAACCACAATCTTCAAGCCACTGATACTTGAATTGCTTGGATTGACATGGTGGACATAACCATGATAAGCCTTGTATTCACCCTTGATTATGCGGATATGCATACCAATCCATGGTGGTGATGCTGTGTTCTATATAACCAGCTTAGTATTCATGAAATGATAAATAATCAATAAACTCACAGAAACAGAATATGACATTTTGAAGACCACTGTATGACAAAGTGACAGTGCAATGGTACAGCCCAGCAAGCTACTGTGTATAGAGATAACAGTCAGCTCTGGGGATCAATAACATACAACAAGACCACCTTGGAGTATGATTGCACTGGGGGGATTTGGTCAAAATTGAATGATACAGTCATTGATATTTAAGAATACAAGATATTCGAAACTAACTCAAAATAGCCGGAACGCATCCGGAACGCACCTGAACGCATGGAACGCAGGTGAACGCCAAGATCAAAAATGAACGCATATAAGGTGAACGCACCTGAACGCACCTGAACGCATATGGACGCAACATCAATTCATCAAATTTGCGTTCATACATTGATTGCGTTCCGAGTTCACATAAATATAGTTAAATTTCAATGTTTTGACTGAAATGTAACTGTTGTTCCACTAATCTATTACATATTGTACAGTCTATGCACACATTAAGTATAGTACAATCGAAGTAGTTAATAATTGAACATTGAAATCATATTATTGTACATAATATAATAAATATATGAACGCATATGAACGCATGAAACGCGAACGTGAACGCAGAACGCACCGACGGAACGCATAATTCTACCTACCGTTTCGAAAGTATGTATATCGCTCCTCTTAGCCGTAATTCTTTAGTCTGAGCTCACTAGGCTGTATGGTGGGCACTTGTTACCCTTTGACGGGTTATTTGGATTCTCTCTCAACATGGATTCATACCCAGGTGTCAGTTTTTGATTGTTCGCAGCGGTTACTTCAGCTCATCGTACTTGGACAGACCCTTATTCGACTTCCACTCAGAAAGCACAATGGAACCTCCTCCTCTTCAACCTGTCTGTCTAATATCCCAGTTTCACTGTCTGATTGTCGAAATCTGATAACCGGACCATATGAAGACCTTTCGCGAACCGCGCCCCTCTTTACTTCTCTCAAAGACATTGCCGCTCTAGAACGTAGAACAAACGGCGAAGAGCAAATTCTTTGGGAAATTGAGACCGCCAGAACAAGCAGCAATGCTTCTGATATTTGTGTGGAAGAATTACGCCTCTCTCACCAGTCCCATGAACCTAAATCCACACAAGTGACACAGCGCTGGCTTCTTGTCAAGGACACAGTTCCACTGACTAAGGTTCCCAGTGCATATTTGGGAGTCGTGCTACAACTCAAGGCCCTGAATGGTATCGACGTTTCTATCGCTTTCTGTCTGGATCGGTCCAAAGAATTGGAGGCCGGGTCCCATCTATTTTGTGGATTACAGCTCCCCGAAGTCCTCTCTGTTCCAGTCCATATCAATGCGACATTCGCCATATCTAGCGATCGTCGTAGCATTCGATTTGATCCTCCGGACAGCAATGGTAATCGAGTTGCCCAATCCGGTTACAATGCATGGCTGCTGTCGGACGTCATACCTCCGATTTATTTTCACGGTCTCCGGAGTCTCTTCTCGATCCTCAAAGGCGGAGAACGGTTCACAAATTGGTGGCCCAAGAGCGTCAAGGGGTTTATTTCAGACCAAGTTGTGAAAGCCTTCTACGCATCTCTACCTGCAACCGATGTCACTGTTTTTCCCACTGTGACTAATCAACTCATAGCTCCTCGAGATGCTATCATATCGAAAGACGAACCTGAATCCATTCGCAAGCTACTCTCTTGTCTCAAAGTACCAAATTATGTAGTATTAGGCAGTCGGACGAATCGCCTCCCTACACTTGAGCTTCGCATGCTCGACCCGGACTCTCTTTCTGGTATACTGAAGGAGTCCACCACCGAGGAAAAATTAAAAATCCTTTTCGATGCTGAACTCCCTTTGTACCGGAGGATGTTGACGACGGTGAAGGACCATACCAAACCTGAACTCATGAAGACTCTTATAATTTCCATGATCGATGCTACGTTGCAGTTCCTTCTCCAACGCAATTCTTCTGATGGTCATACTCTTCTACTCCTGGTAACAAGGGATTTGGAGCTACGCCACTTCAATGACTCCAGTGCCCCGACATATTGCTTCTCTGGGAATGTTCCTGATGCACTTTTCCCCCAATCCCGATTTCTGTCGAACGAGATCTCCCCTAAAACGCAGATTCTGCTCATGAAATCTTCCCTATATCGTGTAGAGGACTTCGATAAAAAAGCAGTTGTATCGTTTGTGGAACACTCTGTTGGCCAACCACGGAACGACGCCTATCATTCAGTCGAACGTAGCGAATGGATAACTCTCTTCTGGAATTTCTTTCAATCGAATAGTCGTCCTCGCGACTTGAAGCTTCAAGATTTCGCTAGTTATCCTCTACTTGCAACCTTTCAGGAACAAAAATTTGTCTCGCTTCAGAAGTGTCGTAGTGGAGGTGTGCTTCCCGACCCCGAAGATGCAGACCTGCGGGATATCATGTACACCCTCAATATCACTGTTCTTCAAACTCATCCTGTACTTCCGAAGGATGAAGCCCGTTTGATATTCTCCTTCTCAAATCTTCTTGACTGTTTGCAAACAAGGGGGGGCGATCCTTTCCGAACATTATCTGCAGATCAGTCCGTTTGGTTTGCAACTTGGATAGTCAGAAAAATGACGTATGGCATTCGCGAGTTGAGTGCACCCCATTTGACCTTTCTTTCAACACTCCGATTGTGGAATGCGACACGGAATGGGATTATTCAGCGCCTAAGTGCTGATGAGCTGTATCAGCTTCCATCCGAGATCGAACTTTCTAGAATCAGTCGCTTTCTGAAGCCCGACCAAGCAATAGCCGAATACGCAATAGAGCTGCGGAATTTGTGGTCAGCTCGACGTGACCACCGCGGTCAGAAAACATCGAACGACTTATATGAGGAGCTTTACCAAAAACTCTTCTTGCCTTTTTCTATATCTGAAGACGATATTGACGATTACAAGTACCTCTTGAAAAAACTCTTGTGGAATAGGCCCTCGAGCCCGCAGAGTAGGCTCTCGCGCTTGCAGGTTCCCGATGGCCGACTTCGTTTGCGTGCCCCTGGGGAGCTTTTTGATAGTAACTGCAACATATTCAAGGCTGCGTTTCATTACAGCCAAGAAGAAATGTTCATCCATCCTAGGTTCCGAGATTTAGAAAGATCTATCGGTATCACGGCCAACGTAACCCCCGACGTTTTCCAGCAGTGTGCCCGGGCGATTCACAACGATCAGTCATCCAACAGATATGATGAAATTATAAGTCGTGCTACCACTATCTACGCCTATTATAATCAAGGCCCCCAGAATCTCCTGCAGAACCCCACCCGGCCTGACGCCCTAATTGACGCTATGATTTTGCCATGATTGACGCTATTTCGGACCAGGATCGTCACGTGAAATCGAAAATTTTCCAAAATTTTCTTCAAAATTCAAATGTTGGTGTTCTTTTCCATTTTTTTCCGGTGCTTTAAAATTTTTTTGGTTTGGTGCTGGTGCGCCGACTCCTGCCGACTCAAATGACGCTATAAACGGACAAGGACTAAGGATTTTGACTGAAAATGACGCTATTTTAGGACCAGGAAATCGTCAAAATCGGGCCCAAAATGACGCTATTTCGGGTGAGGTTCTGCAGGAGATTCTGGGGGCCTTATAATCACCAGCTACCAAGTCAAATCATGGCAAACAAAAGATCCTGGGAAATCTTAGATGATCTTCGATTCATCCCACGGAGCGATGAGGCTTTGGAGGAGATATCCTTCGATACTACTCCGTACCTTGATGCCCTTGATCATTCGGTGCTTTCCCCTCGTGAACTTCTTCGTCGTGAATACCAATCTGTAGCTTGGACTCAGCGCACTAGGTTTCTTATTGAACCATCGCAGAACCTAATCGCTGTATATCCAGATATTGGTGTCCCTACAGCACAAGATGTGGTATGCCCGGATTCAACTCGAATTACTATTATTTCTGATAATTGTCTGCGGATAGGTTGCCCACCTTGTGATCCTCGCGACTCGGATCTCTCAGGATCATCCTCACGATCGAGGGCTCATAAGAGATCTCAAAGCAACCTATACCTGGCTTCAAGACCATCAATATGCCGCTGGAGAAGAGTTGAGAAAGCACCAACATGAACGGATTTTCTTAAACGTCGACGATATTGACTCATACTTCGAAAACTGGCAATGGCGTTCCTCTCAGGAGCTCATCCTCAATCTATCGTATGATTCCTCGAAACGTTTTCGAGTTAGATCCTTCTTGTCTGAATTCAGACAACTGTTGGGCGTAGCCGGAGTTCGCCGCCGCGTAGATGTCAATTTTGTAGACGAGACGCAATTTGGAGATCCCAATTTCGAAAGGCTGCGAGCAGGGGGTAAGCTCCTGGACATTGAATTACGTCCTGAATATACTACGGAAAACGAAAAGTCGAATCCTCTCCGGCTCAAGGCACATGCTGCTTTCCTTGCAGCTCATGTTCCGCACATTGAAACCGCACTAAATGGAGTTTGGAAAGAGGCCACATCAGGCGTGCTATCATTTCCGGGTACGTATTTCGCTGCTTGTGCTTTCCTCGGTAAGTGTGATGCTTGGAACCTCGAGACAATAACTCTAATGCGTTTGAACACAGATCTTGTTTATACGGGAGATTTAAAAGATGAGCGTTCACCTGAAGACGATGATGGGATGGAGCTACTGATGGATCTATTGGAAATGTTGCCAATCGCTCATGAGTGGGGTCTCCCTGCGTTGAAGACGAAGTTGGGATGGCTTATAACATCCAAGTATCTTTTCATCCAGCCCGAGACGCTTAAAATGAGTGAGTCTTCGCACAATTTTCATACCGTTCCGTTGACAATGAGTGTTCAGTTCGAGATGAAGCTCAAACATACGAGGCACTAGGACTGGTGAAGGCTTGCGATGACTTCGCTGAGAAGAATGCGGGAATTCTGCCCGACCTAAAGGAGTGATCTCTTAAATGCTCGCACATATTGCTTTACGCTTTGTAGGTACATACATATTAGATAATGTTTCGCGGTCATAATTATTAATAAGCTGTGGGCGCTTAAATCCATGAGACTCTGGAATCTGGATAATCATTACCGCAGTTGCGACGACTCCCAAGACAACTGCGTTGCTAACATGAGTCTCCGACTGGGATCCTTATTGCTGTCCGAACTGCAGCTAGTTGAAGCCTCAGCTGCCTGATGAACGTCTGGAAAGCTGTTGCTAGGCATTGCAAAGATATCAAATCTCCTCCCGAACTACGATGCCTCTGCTGTACACATCTGTACACATCAAACCATCTCATAGGATGGTCGAGATCTCACGATCCTCCTTCCGCATATATAAGTCAAATGACACTTGCTTTTCCTGGACCATGGCCTCTAGTCATATATCAATAGCGGATGGATCAGAACGAAGACTTCTTCGGGGGCCGTTCTTCGGTATAGCATACAAAGAATTCCTTGCTCTTCACGTTGATTCATCTCTTGATTTCCAGGGATGCTTTTGTCAACCATGTATGCCTTGCCTATCTTTCGAGCAATTTTTGCTGAAACTTCAACGTAGACTCCTTGGAACTGTAGGCGCCCAAATGTGGTTCTACCTGCATCAAAATCAGGATGGTCGACTACTTAGGGTGACGGTGGGTTGCGTTCCTGCCGTCTCAATACTCATCTTCCATGATTCTAACGGGAACTTCAGGTCGCGGTTCTCCTGTAAGAGGCTGCGGAAAAGATATCTACTACGACTTACGGAGGCAGCGTAGCGTCTCCGTTCTTGCTTCGAATTGTCTCGACATTGCTACAACGTTCAATTATACGGTCAGCATCTTGCCCCGCTCACCGACTGAACAGATCTGACCGTCATACATCCAGGTTGCTCATTTTGGTGACACAAGCGCAATGGATTATCTTCCAGGGTAGATGAAACTGCTTTAAATTCTGCCTCGTTTAAGATCTGTACAGATATTTTGTTGCCGAACTAGTTCTCAGTGGTGTATCAGTTTTCGTGTAACCCTTTTCTCATTGCAGCAGCGAACTTTTGGTCTTATCATATTGATACAGGGTGGACATATTTTTCGCATCGAGGATTCGACGTCGTGAACACCTTTTCTACTGTTCACATTCTCTTGATCTCTTATCTTTTTCAGTAAACCAGCGCTACCGCTTCATATCGTGTATCGTTGTATATCTCAAGTCCTTATAGTAATTATCTAGAACTCACTAGTGAAACATAGGTGATAATGGCTATTGCTGCTTTGGGTAAGCTTGTGTTCAAATGTGGTATCTCGCTGTTAATTAATGTGTTTCTGCAGCGTGTGGTTGTGGTCAGTACATCATGATCATGATCCTTTTTCACCTACTGAAAACTCATTGTAATTGGGATGAACTAGTCACCACCGGATTTTTATTCAATGCACCGACAAGATTAAACCTAGATTCTCCATGGGTCAAGGTGACTAGAACTCCAATATCCCCTGTCCGTGCTTTGTTTGATATGGTCAAGTCCCCAATCTTCGCTCAAAACATCCTTCGCGCCTGTACGGCCCTCATTAGCTCGGGTGCAATCTGTTGGGGTTACCGATCCAGTCAGGCAATGACGAGAAGGTGGCGTCAAGTTCAACCTACCTCCCTATGTTTTCTCAGTAGCCTTGGCCTATCTGTAGAACCGAGTCTGTCCTTCAACAAATACTGCAATTCGCGGTGACTAGAGGCGTTCTACTAGTCGCAGCCCAGATTGTAGCAGCAATCATGTTTGAGGTCGAGCCAGAGACGCTAAGATGGTTTGTACACCTCGGACTGCTTCTCCGGTACTTGGAAATCATGGGTTGATTAGGATGATATTTCATATGATGTTGGACAAGATCTATGTTATTACCATGAGTGAACCTCTATCTTCATTTGTACCGCCTCATTTTCACTCCCATTGCAGTGACAATGTACGCCACTTTTAAGCCATACCGATATCGTAACCGTGACTGACGTTTAATCGGGTCGCATTCAGGTTGAACTCCCGAGCGAGTTTCCGCGAGACGTTGGCCCTTCCGGTGACTGAGTCCGACTTTTTACGCCGCTCGTCCTCCAACAAGCGGATGCGTAACGTAGCAATGGCTCCATTGCAAAGTCCCCTCGACGTGATTCACCATCCAAATCACGCGCAAGCCCAACCCAGTACTATTCAAGTTCGTAGAGTCTCATGACATCGATTTTATCGTACTGAGCTCTTCAGTTTCTTTCGCAGTCTGCCCCGGAGTTGGAGATTGATATTGATTTGGACAGTTTTCAGTCCGGAAAACGTACGCCCTTCTCTCTCTCCTTATCTTCTGGCCAGTATCGTTTGTTTACTGCTTCACTAGTATCAGGAATATTGGTGTCGCGCGAGATGATCACTGCGATTGATTATGGTAGCGTAAGTATACTGTTCTCTCAGCGCGTACATACTTACTCACCGACCTCAGCCACTACCCAAGTCACCAACTGTTTAGAGGATACAGGCACACCATCTGAAGTACAGCATATTGTATATATTGTCCACTATCCGAAGAATATTTCTACTTTCAGTGTCTGGGATGCCAAAAAGGATGATTGGAATGTAGTTTGCTCAAGTTCTTCAGATTATCTCCGGGAGACTGACAATCGTGTTTCCGGTAATGACGACGCATGTTCGAGCTCACGTTGAACCTTCTTCCGCATCCCAGATATGGACATGAAAAAGCTAAAGATCCTTGTTCAATATTTTGGACATCTAGACAAGTAAACTGAAGGACGTACGGGTAATACCAGTATGAGTATTCGTATGAATGCGAAGACTACTAGGACGACTGAAGCGTTTGAAGCACTCGGGGCAAACATGCTTCTTTGTCTGAACGTCGTAGTCATTTTCTACATCCAATCCGAGTCCACCATCAGATGATCCTGCACGATTTGAAGTCGAGACCGGGAACAGACTGTCGGGTGAAACCTCGCCATCACTGTCGTGCTGATGGGTGTGTTTATGACGGGATTTCTCCATTTGTTTTGCCTGATTCAAGAGCTCTCAACGAGTACATAGAGATCATCTTTATCACAACTGACCAAAATCTCCAATCGGCGCCTGGGTGGTAAAGTTATTAAGTGAACTAACCAAGACGGTGTCAGACAAAAGGGCTGCGATGGTATGAGGGCGTACACGTACTCGGAAACATCTCATCAATACTGGGAAGCGACATTGAGGAGAGATGCCAGAGAAGAGGGGATGGATTGGATGAGGATATTCAAATGAGTACTTAGTATCTAAAGCAGGGTCAGGACGTCACGAGCCAATGTGATTTTCTATGAGCAGTGTCAAATAATCAGCGCTTATATATCTTGTGATGGGTTGTGTTCTTGTCATGTATATCGCAGATATTCTATATGGGTGTTTCGTATCTGCTTTTGAGAAGCGAATGTGTTAGATCCCTTAGGACTGCAGGAACATCGTGGGTGTTAGTGTTCCTTTTGCATTGGGATCAGCGCTCTGTTATTCGAGGCAACGTTAAACGGGTATCAAAAGAGATGCGGTGGCAGCGGGGTCGGGAAGGAGGAATTAAGGTAGACCGTATATAGGATCGTACCCATGTGAAACACACTTACTCTCCCCAGGTTGACGGTATTGATAGATCAATCAGATGCTTGAAAATCCTCAAAGGCGAATCTTTTCTTCCAACATATGCAGACTCCCCCTTCTGAAGCTAAACAGGTGGGAGATAAGACGACAAACTGAAACTGAGTAACATATCTCATTCGCGCTTGCCAGTGGGTAACGTTATGATTGCTGAAGGGTAAATGGGATGAACTCACTGTTGGGGGTTTCCTGTTAAGAACAGTGAGTGGTTTCCCGATTATTCTTGCTCTTCCAGGAAAATAAACCAAAATAGGAGAGTAGGCCACAGAGATTCCATTTCGAGAGATTATGATGCCGGCCGAGGCCTGCCGCCGGCTCTTGCAGACGCAGGTACGATCACATGCCCGTCGCGTTCTTCGCAACACCGCGGCGATGCGTATTACTATCTCCATAGACTATTCGATCCATAACATGGGCTACTATAGTCCATGTTCGTGTTTCGTAGATCACACAGTAGCTGTACATAAACGACGAAAGTGCTGTCGTAATTCAATATTGTGAAGTATATACAATGCGTGTCCGTTCGTAAGTAGTACCCGCTAATGTGTATCGTATGTGTTGATATCGTATGTGGTGTCCCGTGTGTTGTCCCGTTCGTTAGCCAATTTAAAATCGTTGAAAAGAAGAAATACAAATGCTTGAGAAAGCCAGAAAGCCCCAAAGTTTACAGAGAAAGAAAAGGAAAGTGACTGAAAGCAGTGAGCACAACGCAGCGAAGGTTTTTTTGACATTGTCCATAACCGAAAGGATCAGAAGGCTGAAGTCGACGCAAGTTCAGGATCGTCCAAAAACTAGATTCCCAACGCTGGAACCCGAGTCCTTGTCGACTTCCACACCGACAAGACGGCATTTCTCCCCCAACCAATCCACCCTTCGGATCCCTCCGTCCCATCCACTACCCAGAGAACGACATCTTCGGTCGTACGCCCGCGAAATCTTGCGTTGAGCATGACTTCCACGACCAAGCGCGTCCCACTCTTCCGGCGTGGCCGCGTGCGAGAGCGTGTTGTGCACCGCATGGAGGACGTCAGCACAAGACACGGAAGTGGAGGACGGATGGTGAGAATTAGTAGGTGACGATCCACCCAAGTAAAATTTGGGAACAGTCTTTTTCTGAGAAGAGCACCCAGCATCCACTACTATAGGCCAAGGAAACTTGCTGCTTCGAAGAACGAGCCTGGACATGGTAGGAGGATCTGTAGCTGGCTGGTTGAGCGTATGTGTAGGTATAGCACTTCGAGTACTCCGGTCGACGATTGTCTGAGGAGACGGTGGGCGAGAGACGTCATAACAAATGGGTGCACGACTAAACTGGGAGGCGGCGAGCAGAGGGTGCATGTGAAGCGTAATTCGACGTTTGGGGTTTACGAAGGAAACATGAGCATGAGAACCTATAATAAGAGATGATTAGGTCAAGGCGTCTCATTTAATGCCGCTTGCCACTTACGAGATGGTGACTCTCCAGCATGCCATGTATTTGTCTGTTTCAATGCAGGCCGTGCAGGAACGCTCCCGGAGCTCGATGTCCGTGGAGCCATCGGTGGTCGACTGCCCGGATTACTGGAGGAATAGCTATAGCCATGGCCAGAGACAGAAGATGCTGGATAAAGCGAAGAATTGGAATTCGTGCGCGAGTTGCTCGAGAGATCAGGAGTATAAATTGGGTAAGGAACGACTATAGAGTCAATACGACGATAAGCGAAAAATGCCATGGTAGGAAGAGATAATTAAACACTCACACGTATCACCAGATTGATAACTGACAGATCCAGAGCGCAGCTCGAGCGGACGCATAGGCCGTGTCTTCGAAGAGATTGGCGTCGAGTCATAAGTGTTGTAACGCAAAGGCGACGGTCTTTGGGTTCGCGAAGGACTTGGCATTCGTGCTGATGAAGTTGAAGTAGTATAAGAAGTAGCGTACACAACAGTGGGTTTCGAAGTAGAAGAGGTTAAAGACCGGGAATGACTGTGGCTTTTTGTTTGCGAGCCTTCAGAATGCCCCTTTGATGAGGACCGTGAGCGTGAAGACGAGTTGTTGTGACCACCGAACAAATTCCGGAGATAGGACGCCATGCTTGTAGTAGACAAAGGCGGCCAAGGACGAAAATTATGGGATGGTATAAGTCAGGGATGGTTGAGACTTATATACCGAGATGTCAATAGAGTTTGTCAGGTCCCAAATTTAGAATATCACTGGTCTACGCAAATCGAGAATGGTTCATTTCGGGTGAGAACTTTCAGATAATGTAGTAAAAAAGCGCACTAGGACAGGATGTCGCGCTCCACAATCGGTTAAAGCGCTCAGGAATTGTCTGGGTACTTTGCTTACAGCCGATTACCGATAAATGAGTTGAATGGGTGACTAGCAGGTGATGCACCTGAAGGCAAGAACTTCGTTAGCGAAGCTGTTGTCGAATCAGATCAGAATTACTGACCGAAGTTACTGGATTCCCTTTAGCTTTTAAAGCTCTCTTTAAGTCTCCCTTGGTGGTCAAAGGGCTCCGTCGAGCCCGGCTGCATTGCGCATTTCATTTCGGGGACTTGCAAAGAAGTTTTCAATCTTCAAAGGCGCATCCTTAGATGCCCAGACTTGTCGGATCGTACCACTAAGAGTGCGCCGAGTATGGTTAGGTAATGTCGCAAATATTCGGTTGCAGCCGGGTCGTAACGCTGTACGAACCGATGCATGCCTCGAGGGGGTACAACAACACGTTGAAAACTCGTGTGTTGGCTGAACCTGTTGTTTTTGACATAAAATATTCAGTCAAAGCAGCTGAAAGGGTATACACTGGGATATATATGTCGACAGCCTGCCAAATTTGTATAATGTCGGAAAACAAAGGCGCATATCGACATTTGCTAGAGCAGAATCAGAACTGTTGTTAGAAAGACACCTGCGAAAATAGAAGACTGAAGTTGATGTTGGAGAATATCAACCACGTTTGTCTGACTCATCCACGCGCTCTGATGAATTTTCACAGCCACTCGACTGATGTGCACCCTGGAACTGAATTGTTTTTACTGTATGTCCCACTCATAGTAGGAGGAATTCAACTGCCTAAAACAGACGAGAAGCTCAGCCAAGAAAAGAAAACCGTCTTCAGATGTCCTCTTAGAATTTTTTTTAGCCAGATCCAAGTTATTCAGAAGTCCAACGCGTCGGAAATGAGCTGCTACCGCGCGTTGCTTTGTACATGCATATGTAAGTACACAGTAGGACTGGCAGTACTAGCTCACGACGTTCCCAATCAGGCTCGAAGTCAACGCGAACAGGAGGGTCGCGGACTTACGGCCCAACCTCCGCATGAATTGATATACAATTAGTACAATTGATCCATATTCCTGAAGAAATTCTTCACCACATATTGTAGAACACTCGAAGAAAGTCAGCCCTGTAAGGGGACAAATAATACAAACTGCATTACATGTAATGTAGTATGATACATATATGAATTGGTGACTGGTGAGGCCCATGAAAAGCGTGTTATGTATCACAGGGTCGACCACCTAAATAAGTAATCGACGGAGGTCGACGGAGGTAGCTATGTGTTATGATCATGGTCCTCTCGGGATTCGTGAGGGGTGTAAATGCATACGAATGAATCATAAAATATTCCCTCGAATACATAGTGGAAAGCGGGAAGATTAGTTCACCCGAATTGACATTTATGACGTCGGGGGTGCGTACCACCATAAAGTGGTCACCCCAACGGGAAAGGTATATGTAGCCTAGGGGAGAATGTTTGAGCATCGGAACTAGGAGCATGTGCGCAGCACAACGTTTAATCTTTTGCTGAATTTATTTAGCTTACCTGCATGCCTCTGAACGAGATAGAGGCAGTAACTGGAGTGGGGCTCCAACTTCCCGCGGGACTGGTATCATACCCTGTGTAGTAGAAGATCTCGTTAATTTAGTTGACAACAGATTTTGAAGTGCTCACAATTTAATACGACGATAGAATATCTTGACCAATCACTAGGATTTTTTCGTCGAGTGATATATGCTCCAGCTCGGAGAGTCCATCCAAGTGATCCAGTCACAGAAACGTGAATCCGTGTTCCAAAAGGTCCCCCAGAGTCCTTAGGAATGACGGCTTTCGACGCTTGAGCCATGGAATAAAAATCCTGGTTGAAAGAATAAGAGCCGTCACTATTTACAGTAACCAGACCTCTGCATCCTCCTTTGTTACAACTGACGGCGCCTGGAAGCATCGGGTTTCCATTACCATCGAGAGCGATATTCCACATGAGGCCCTGGAAACGGTTTAGTAAAAATCACAAGGCCGTAGAATCCGAAGTGCTTCACAGATTTAGCATTGTGTTCTAATGCGCCGATCCATCTACTTCTCGGTCTAAATCAATCGAGAAGAGAAATTCGACAATGAGTCTCACAGATTATCCATGTACCACTGCAAACACAACGTCGATTTCAATGGGTTTCAGCATCAGCAATAGACTAACCTTGATGTCACCCCACCAATCTGAGCCCAATGTTCCAGTACATTCAGTCAAGTAAACGTCCTGCAATGCTTGAGGTTGCTTAACCTTATTGCCACAGAAGAACGCATACCTTGGAAGGTTCAGCGTTGTGAAAGACATCTTGATTGTCTACATTTCCTTCGTAGCAATGGAATCTGTCGATGACAAAGGGGCGTTAGATGAGATTCACACACCACGGGAATACCGTTAATAGAAAAACACCCACGCTACCCCAGCGAAGGCATCAGGCGCATCGTGGATCTGTACCAACAGCGAGTAAGTGCATCGGAGCCGTCACGTCGAAGTAAGTATACTCCAAGGGGCACAGACCAGAGTTACTGGATACGCTCCAGCATCATCCCAATTATGCTGAAAGTTCATCTCGGTTAGTAAAATAGTCTGAATCAAAAGAATGAAAGCAGAAGAGCGCGGGGTCTACCTCGTAGCCGATGATCTTTACATTCGATAAACCATTGTCATTAAGCAGTGATCTTAATGCGGACCCGATTTGCGCTTCCACATCTGGTGCAATTGTGCAGGTGGGATAAGTGGGATTCGAGTTTTGAGGTTCATTCTGTAGCACCCCCCGCCCCAAGTGAACGTCAGCAACGAAAACGTGAACGATGAAGGGTTCATGCATGCCTGAATCGAAACAGCATAGATAGGAAATCCCATCGCTTGAAACCCTTTGACTGCTTTGAGGAGATAGGTCGGATCTGCAATGAATTCTTTAGGTCAAATTTGTTGAGCGGACTCGATACACTCCGTACAAAATGAGACCATATCAGGTTTTATTGAACCACCATTCATTGTTCCACTATCTTTCATCCACGCGGGCTGTGATGCAAGATTTTGGTCAAACCGAGAAGAAGAGTCATGAGCATAGTAATCAATTACCGGGGACCAAGGAAGGACATGAACCTTAAAAAAAGTATGTCAAGACCTTGCCGTCCTAAGTTTAGAGGACAGAAGAAGATTATAACAACCTTTAATAGATCATTGATCGTTTGTATGTCCCTCAAAACCTCGAAAAGATACGCTGGAGCGCGATTGATATTAAAACTGTGGAAAGACGTATCGCCATTCGAGTCATCCAAACTGTAGACTACGGCACACGTTTGAATAGAAAGATAAGAACAGGTTGAACCACGGACGAATTACAAGCCCGTACCGGAGGCGGAAAAGTCTGAAGCACCAATGGGAACGCGAACGTAGCTTAATCCGGCAGCATTCACACCATCTGTTGGATTGAACATGTAATTCAAAAGGTTCCAGTAGTTGCCCGAGTTCGCAGTCTACGTTGTCGAGATTAGAAAAAACGATCGCACAGGAACATGAAACGTACCTTGATATTCTTCAATATCAGAGCCGCGGAGTCCGCTGAAGAGATTGATAAATAGTTTTTTGTTCATACGTCGTGAAGGATAAACAAACGTTGCTCACTTAGAGATCCTCCGAAACCAATGATATCCTGATATTCCACTGCATCATCTACTACGATATTTACGCTCGTCGGAATTGAGTTCGTGCTTGGATTGAAGTTTATCGCTGTGGACGTGGTTCGCGGGAAAGACGTAAATAGGGACGATCGATCCCAGGTAGTCTGCCACTGTGCAACCAGGTCCATCAGTAGAAAGACCTTGTTATATTTGGAAATGAGCTCACAACATCGTATATCTGTTGAGTCTGGACCCGTCGAGGTATGAACGCACACAGGATAAGGAAATAGAGCCTGTGCGTTGGCGACATGGCATTCAAAGACCCCAAGAAAAGGCTGCGATACAACCACTAACGAAGACGAAAGCCTCAACTATATCGCATTCCCTCTCCTCTCTTAAGTATTTTCTCTTCGTTTGCCCCAAGTCGGATGTATCCTTTAGACCGGGGAATTGTGCCGAATTTCCTCGCGTGCCTTTCCGACCAGGACATTTCGTTTTCGAGTATATTGGTCCAGGAAAAGACTAGGAACTGCTCTGAAAGGGAATTGAAAATTGAGCATTCGACAGACATCGGAATACGAACCCGACACTTACCGCAAAGCAAAGCAGGTGTTACATAGAAAGCACGACAAAAATCCGTTCTTGGGCAGGTCGTTTGGCGTAGATACTCCATAGTTATCCCATGACTACACGGAAAAGGGACGAAGATAGCGGATGGTTTCTAGGAGGCCAGCTAGTAGTCGGTTTCGAAGGGTTTTGAGAGGGATCACCTGGACCGGGACCACGGGGAGAGCATAAGAGCACTGATATCGAGATCACAAGTTCCGTGCAAGGAACTTTTCCGTTGTACAATACGTTGTGCCATTAAAAGAGGATGATAGTCGAAGGTCATGGTAGCGCGTGAATTCTGCTTTGATGGATCAACTCATTGTACGACTGTGACGGTGCCAAGCTCCTCAACAGACCTCCAAGAGTTTACTGTACAATTAATAGAATTTACTTATACATATCGTACAAAAGAAGATAGATACGCGATGTGAGGGATAAGTACTGTAATTGAACTCGGTATTCAATATTCAATACTCAGTACCGATCGATCTCAACACTTCGAGAGCGGCGACCATATCCATGTCCATGTTTGCTAGAGCGATGATGATGGTGCCTCCTGGGTTTAGTATACACGACGACAGGAGCTTGTTGAGACTGAGCAGAAGGCATCATCATTCCAGTGCCACCATACTGCATCTGCGGTTGAGCTACGGCAGGAGGATAAGCCATGCCTGAGCCCATCGATGGATACATGGTGTTGGGGTACGGTGCGAATCCTCCAGCTCCTGTCATACCGCCCATGCTTCCCATCGTTCCTGCACCCATGCCACCCATGGATCCTGGGGCTCCCATACCCATACCCATGCCTCCCATTTGAGTTTGAACTGCGGTATTTCCAGCACTGGCCATTCCTCCGGCTCCCGGTGCTCCTGATCCCCCGAAAATATTTCGAACACGGCGACGTGTACCGGAGAAAGCAGAACTACTGGTAAGCGCAGATCCCGGAGTAGCCTGAGGCACTGTAGGAGCCATACCTGTTTGAGGCACAACAGCAGGTACACCGGTATGAGGAGCAGCGGTAGGCATAGATGCTATACCTGCTTGAGGCATAATGTAAGCCGTATTCTCTTGAGGAATAGGAGGGACTACACCGGTTGGAGGCATAGTAGAAGCTATCCCAGGTTGAGGCATGGCGGAACCTACACCAGCCTGAGGGACAGTATAAGCTACACCGGTTTGAGGAAGTGCGGTAGCTGCGCCGACTGGGGTTGTAGGCGCACTGCTAGCGGTGATTATCGGGGAAGGTGTGCTTGCAGCAACTATAGTAGGCACACCGGAGGCGACACCGGGAGCGAGTGATCCATTCATCGCTCCTGCATTGGTCCAGCCACCATATACACTGCTAGTCGAATTGGGAATTGTTGAGACCATTTGTGGATTACTGTATGTCGCGTTATACGATCCGTATTCCGCTACACCTTCTAAACTGTTAAGCAAGAGAGATCAAGATACTGATTCCTCAGACAAGACTTACCGGGTACTTGTGATTGAGATTGGACGACGGGAACCGTCGCAGGAGCTAAACGAACCTGAAGCGAAAGGTCAGGTTCACATAGAAAGATATTCACAATATAATACTCACTTGATTTACCTCGCTATAGGCCATCTCGATTAAATTAGACTTGAAGAGTTGTGGTTATGATCGTAAAAGTAACTTTAAGTAAGTGTGAAATGTTGACTCTCCGAAAAACATACGGAGATAACATATAGCGATATGAATAGAATGGTAGGAGCGTAAGAAATGACGTATACACATTTCAGCGTCGAGAAAGGAATCCTGCATCGTGACTTTGAGGGTGGAGCAAGAAGAGTTTGGAGCTAGGCGCTTAATCCTGGCGCGCGCGATACTACTTCCGTTATGTCAACGTTATGTACCATAACCATCTCATGTCGCTGAGCGTTGACAAGGTTGATCATTGCCCGAAAATAACATCCTACTCTATCCCGCTCTCAGAAAGATGACATCGAGGAAGTATGTGGGTCTCTAAATTGAGGTTGGTTCCTTTCCGTTGTCGTATACTCAATGGGTACTTACAATTCCTCTTGCAGGGCATTATGCGTTTCGCCTCGAATTCTGGCCAGTTGAAGCTCGTCTAGATTTCTTCGTCTCAAGTGTAGAACTCCTCAGAGTGTAGCTAGCAGGAGCTCGAGCTCAGCTGGGATATTGGCTGATATCGGCCAATGTTGTGCGACTCACAGGACTGGTGCGTTCATTCTCTTTGAACGTCGATGTCACTAAATCCTCTCACCGCAGGTCGTATAACAAATATTTACAGGACTGCGGACGCATCATCTCTCGTGCTTCCTTAATACCATAGAAATCGGCCATGTCCTCATCCGTCTTCGCGCACCTCTGCCAAATTACGTCCATGTAATTCATACCGAGATTCGGGCTCGATTGATCTGAGGTTGTTGTAACAATATAAGTACGCTGTGCGTCTTTCAATATCCTTCACAGCTCTACATGTCTAATCATATGACAACACAGCTGTTTCATTTCTCTGCCATAAACGACGTTCGACTCGCTGTTACAACGATCGTTCGTGTGCATGAACAGGCATGAGCCCGCTTAAGTCAAGATATTGTAGAGGCTACCTTCCTATCTGTCAAGGATCTGATATATGCTTAACTTTGCTCTACACCTATTTATTCATCAACCTGAGGATTCCCCAGGCTTCGTGCGAGGCATCGAAAAAAACATCTGGCCTCATCGGACAGCATTTGTCAAATAATGACCGACCTCCGCGAACACCCTCACCTGAAGTTTATCTTTGCATTCGGTAACTGCCCCTCTGAGCGATTCCAGCTTTCCGTTTTACACGCGTTAGGCTCTTCGATCTACTACCGTCACCACGTATCTCCTTTCGTCTTAATATCACCATCATCACGAATGAAATGACCGTATCACGCATTGCAATCGAAAACAGACTTTTGATTACGTTTTTGAAAGCGTCGTTGGGTCGTATCTGGGTCGTATAGGGTTCGGGGACTGTACTGCGTGAATATTGAGGCCGCGATTTCACACTGTGAGTTTCTTTCTACGCGTTCTCCTTAGTGAAGGTTGAGTTCTAACGGAGGAAATATTTAGCTATTCAGCCTCGTCTTTTTCTTCTTGCTTAGAAATGCACATCTGAATGAATCTTTGGGAAAGAATGGACTCGTTGCAGGATGTGATGCATGCTAACCCATGTCTGGTTACACCACGGTCATCTGTTCCAACATCAGTGTTGTGTTCACGACACCCAAGTCATTTTTGTTTGTACGCGAGCGTTTTCCCCCGTACTATCTCTAGACGTCCAATTTAACGAGTTTTGGCCGTTTGGTTACTAGATTAAAGAGGTCACACGGCTCGTGTTCATAAGTCTGGTCTAATAGGTCTTGTTTGTTGCTAAAGGTACCAGTACGACGTTGAGTAGACAAACATACCTGTGTGATGCAGCTTCTTCGACTCGTTTCTCTCCCATTTGACCAGTCACCGTGGAGACGGATGAAAGAGCGATCAAGACTCAAATCCTCTACGCCGGTAACAGTAGAAGACTGTTTCGAGTCGATACCAACCGTGTTTTGCCTTTGCAGTCCAAGGCCTTGTAAGACTATTTCATCAATTTCATTTGACCGCGACGGTCCATTCGGTCAAAGGTCACAGTTCCGCAACGACCACAACGACCATCCATGATCCAGTCAAAGGTCAAAGTTAACCTTAAGCCGGGATCAACTGATGCTGTGTTCGGGATCAAACAACTTTGCCAATTCGACCATCCTTTAGCCACACGTCAACCCGACGAAGATTCAAATTACTTACATCAGAAAATCTTCTGGCCGCTGTCTGGTGTCAGGTATCGACCGCCTTTACCTTCTCCATTTACGGGTTCAAGAGTCGAGCACCTTCAATACTTCCAGTGCTCCTGTGAACAAGGATCTGTGTCAAACCTATGATATTGAATCATATTCTAAGAATATGATAATGGCAATTTGATGGGAGGCTCGGAGATTTGCATCCGATTGTCTTGTTGTTCGACAGATTCAGAAATGTGCAACTCTTGGCCACCTTTGACCACCTTTGACCATCACGTGTTAGAGTTTTAAAGTCGACTCCAGAATCGAGGTTTCCCCTCATCCTCTTATCTCCTGTTACCACCTCCAACTACAAGTTAAATCACCTACATCGTACTGTCCAGCTCTTCCTACTTCATCATCCTTCGATCGACTCTCCTCCGATATCATGCCGAAAGTTAAGCAGAGCTCAGCTTCCCACAAAATCCCTCGTCCTCGAAATGCTTTCATGATATTCCGGGGCGAAAACCTCGAGCTCCTCAAAGCAAATACCGGTATAAATAAGCCAACCCAGATGGACATATCTAGGGAGGCCGGCAAACTCTGGAGAGCCTTGGGTCCTGCAGGACAAGAGGAATATCATGCTCGCGCTCAGCAAGAGAAGGAAGAACACGCTCGGAAGTACCCTGGTTACTTCTACAAGCCGAGGACGAAGCAACAGATCGCAGATGCTAAGGCAGAGAAGGCTAGGGGTAAGCCGGTAGCTAATGCTAAACGCAGTGCCCGGCACAGCGATGATGATGACTACGAGGGCTCGTCTTTCCGCTCCTCCTTCTCGCCATCTAGTATGGGCAGCTCAGACTTCTCCGGAGCCGATTCTTCTCCTTCGCCTTTCTACTCCGGTGAATCATGGGGATCATCCTCTCTCGACTCAGGAAGTCGGGAGGTCTCCCCTTATTCAAACGGAGCCCCTCCGCCTTTCGCTGGAGCTGACACCTGGATCCTAGATCCGAAGTTTCAAGCTAGTCTTGCTGGTTACGAAGTATACAATGTGGGTTATTCTGCGAATCATCTCTATTTTTCACTGATTTTCTACAAACCAGTCTCCCCTCGAGTCCACTCCAATGGCCGCTACGTTTTCGCAACAACAGCAACAATCCCTAGGGACATCGGTATACAGCCCTACCTCCGATGACGAGTTGTTCAAAGCGGCTTTCGATACCTTGTTGTCAAACGAATACTTTGATCCCACCACAATAGCCTCAGGCTCGAGTGCTCCAGAATTCAACCCGTTCGCCTTTAACTCGAACCAATTCGACTTATCCACGAACCCCATGGATTTCCTCTCTGGCTCTACTGATCAGAACTTCCCGCTGATCAATAACGTCAACACTGGTGGTGACGTTGACTATACGACGGACCTACTCCCCGAGCTCGATCCCTCCTTAGTCCCTGGAAGCTACTTTCAGCGGGAGGAACTCTATCAGCCCCAGCAGTCGATCGACTATCAGCTTGAATGCTATCGACTTCCCAGCTTCGACAGCTAAATGTGTCTCCGACTCGCAGCTAGGATAGCTTCTTGTTTTCTGCATCTGCTTCTTGTAATTAGTGACTAAATTTTTCTCTTGCACTTTCCTTTTGCATCAGTCCTCGTCTTCTCTACGGATTTGTTTCTGGATTAATTCAAGTATCTTCTCGCTCTTTCTATATGACATTTTCACCCCCACTTATTACATTCCGATTCATGTATTGACCGTCATCCTCCTGCATTTGTCTTCTTATCCATATATTTGTATCATTAACGGACCTGGATTGATTTCGATCTTACATTCACTCCTTCTCGCATTTGTATAGTACAGGAACTCAAACATTTTTGCCTGGGGCCAACAAACCCAGATGTTTGTAGCACTACGTACTGGGTACTTCCCCAGCCCGAGATCAAAAGAGATTACACCTCAACTATGATACACGTAGGAGCCAACAACCTGCCTCTGAAAATGCTTGAGTGTGTGGTGGTTCAAAGAACGAAGATACCAAGAAGGAGTGGTTCGAGTTAGGGTAAACCAAGAATCTCGTCGTCGCCGAATCATCATTGTCAGCGACTAGTTGATAATGGAAAGTGCGCATAGGATCAAGTGTTTGCTCCGCATCCTCCTGCAACAATGTGGGTGGGAGAAAACCCCTTATAGAGTCTAAGGATATAAGGGAGATCCAAGGATGCTGGTGTGAGATAGGGATTATGGCTAAGTTCTTCGGCAGATAAGAACCCCAGTAATGCACTTCCTGTATAACCGCTTTCGAGGATTGGTTCGACGAAATCAACATCAAAATCGCAGATCATTGCGCATGAAGGGTTATGTTGCGAGTTCCTGCCCGATTGAGGTGGGGAGAATAGCATCGGAGCTCTTGGAAGAGGGAGCCTGACTTATTGTACCTGTAGAAGGTAGAGAGTAAAGGCAACAGCTATATGCTGTATGAGATACCAGAGACAACAATATTCTGAGGTCAGAATCTGATTGTATCGATATCCAGCAACCGTGTCGGGGAAATTAGCTGGAAAGGGATTGTCAGGCAGGAGAGGTAGTATATGCTGGGGGTTGTTCCTCCATAAAACAAACAAATAATGAAACATAGTGTGGAAGCACTGACTGAGACTATCGTATGGATGCAGTACAATTCCAAGAAATATTACATCAGAAACGAATGATTTTAGTGCGTCGTCTCAAAAATTCATTTACTGTTAAATTATCATGCTCAGAGGTAATCAACTGACCGTCTAGATGGAGCTCGGGTCGCCAGACACTGTGTGTGTTATACACTCCAATCGGGTACACAACCTCTCCTTCTCGCCCAGCCCAATCATAGTCAATGAGCTGACATTCCCATCTATCCTGCTTTCGACGCACAAACACATTCGTGTCACGCAAATCACCATGAACAAAACCCAGTTTGTGAAACTTGGACACAGACTTTGTAATCGCATCCTTGCAAGATGGCTCGAGGATGTCAAAATCGTCGCATGGTTGAAAGTCACTTTCCAAGTTCTCCATTACTACCATCCACCACCCACCAGCAAGATTGGAATGGCTCAGCAGAGCTGGGGCAAAGCCAGATTCAGCTGCTGCCTGATGCGCCTCAACTCCATAAGGCCCGTATCCAAATTTGATGATAATATCTTGATCACCCTCAGTACGAGCGGTGAATACGAGGCGAATCTGGCTGACTCGCTTGATGTAGTTGAACCAAACCGTGGTCCCGGAAGACCGGTATGAGCGAGGATAAGGGAAACTGACCTGATCAGAGTCAATAGCGTAGTCGTTTGGCTTTTCGTAAACCTTGAGAAGAGAGCGGAAGAGATTCCGGAGGGCTGTCATAAATCTGAGAAGATTTTCCATAGAACGGGTATCGTACTCGCTGAAGTAGAGCGGCAGCGAAGGTGAGAGCACTTCAACGTATTGATCGGTTAGATAGACGGCACCTAGAGCCTGAACATTGGGCCCTGTATCATGTTATAATCAAACAGAGCAACAACAAAGGTTTGTGACATACCATTATGAATGACAAGGACAGAGGGAATTCTTGTCTTTCGCCAATCACCCTTGTAATTATCGTTTGAAAGTATGAGCCTGACCCCTTCCTGATCATAAAGTACAATCTCGAAGACAGCGTCACACGATCCTTGGGTGAATTCTATCTTGACCTCCACAAGCAAGGGCTTAACCAACAGATCAGGTATATCTAAATCATTCGGATCAATGCCTCCGTCGGTTTCGAACGAGCCGATTTGTTTTTTCACCACCTTGTAACCGTCAAGTAAATCGGATAGTAGCTCGTGAAACTTGGACTCTCGCTTCTTCTCGTCCTCAAAGAAGCCTGAAAGTTCCTTCAACCACCTGTAAGCGAGGGGTGACAGTTCTTGATCAAGAGCGCCGGAAACAATGTCTTCTTTAAATTGAGCAAATTCGGCATGGAAGAGGGAAATAGGGACGTGATAGAAATCGTCCTGCTTCGGCCTCCCAATGGCGATGGGATTGGATTTGTGGTCGTTGATGAAAGTAGAGGCGGTTGCACCCTTGGAAGGAGCCTTCTGGGGACGTTGAAAGATGTTCTTCACCCGCAAATCGGTCAACTTGTCCCGTTCCTCATTCAGCTGTGCGTACTGGGAATCAGGAACCAGAAAGACAGATATGGAGACGGGATCGATGGGCGGAACAGGGGCAGGAAGGGGGCCAGACTCCCAAACACGCCAATATCCGGCGTAATACTCAACAGGCGGGCATTCTGCGACACGATTCCAGAAGGTTGTGGAAGGGGCATACATAATCGGAGTTTCAGGGACCTATGCAAAACAATGAGTTCAAGAAAAGCTCTTCTTTAGCAACGCACTAGAAGAACCCATTTTCGATGAATTTGAGGTCGCTGTTTTCGAATGGGAGCTATGAAGGAATCAAAATTATCACCGGGACCTCCATAGTCGAACTTCGGATTATCAGGATCTTTCACTAGTTTATCATCTTCGATATGCGCGAACATGTATTTGAGCTCTTTGGTGGCGGGAGGTGTGGCAGTCATGGTGGCGAGAGGGCAACGGTTGAATGGGGCCAGGCAGTCACCCGGCCCGGGAAAGGACAACCAGTTCTATTAAATAAACTAGGTTTAACCCAGTGATTTCCAATGCCGTAATCCTAACCCCGGTATCATTTGAAACCTGGGCTCAAAATGTTGACACTGGGCTCGTAAGGACCCCCCAAAATCCCGAGGAACCTGGATACCAATCCGGACAAATTTTTGAAAATTATCGAGTCAAACCCTCATCAAATACGGACATTTTTTCAGATTTTTTCATTTGACTTTCATACCTGGTGCGGACAAATCGAACAAATATTTGGAGGTTGATCCTGTTCGGACACCGCTTTTATACCGGCCCGAGAGAGCCTGGTATGTCCTTATTTGTTTGTAGCGCGCGGCGGTTTTGCAACGTGTAAATGGTGTGTATGCAGCGGGCGAGGGGCAAAGGAGCATTTGAGGCTTTATACAGAATTACCATCTCTTGTACATCCATCTATTCTCAAATCAACCATTTTGTCTCAATGGACAGCTGGGATAGCTCAGTTATAGACCTTGATGAAGACAATTTCAGACCTACTGAATGGATTAACTGTGGCAAAACCTGGCCCGCAGATCCCCCACCCAGCCTTCTTATGGCTCGCGCCGAGCTTCTTATGGTCCCGCCTGATGCATTCTCCCCATTCTTTCCCGTGGATCCTATCCACATATCAGCATATCACTTTGTTAATGCAAGCCTCCCACCACGTTCATCCGATATCATCACTGGACACACTGATTTCTGGTTCAGTCGTGATCCCCCAAGCTCTGATGTCAAACAACTGATACTCCGTTCAGTCCCTCCGATGCACTTTGTGAATCAGTTGAAGGTTGCGCTTGGCTCCTACTGGCTGCAAGGGAATCAGTCAATTGTAGATCCCCGAAACGGTGGAAGTGACCGGTTCCCATTCTATGTTTTGGAGTTTTGGACTCAAGTAACAGAAGTAAGGGAGACACAGATGCACTGGGGTCAAGCTATCAAATATGTTGAACGTCAGAAACACAGTGCACCTGATAGTGAGACAAAGGTAGTCTTCGACAAAGCTTGGGAGATGTTGCACTTGATTGGATGGAATGAGCTAATGCCCCACTATAACATACATACTATATCCTTTACTGAATTCTTGGGACCCGGTTGGCTCTCAGGAGACCATATTGACCTTATGGTGGGACATATGAACCTGCGTCTCAAGCTTCATGGTGCAAAATCAACCCGGCGATTCATGATTGCACCCCTCGCTTTCACAAACAAGTTGATGAACCCAGTTATCTACAAAGCTCTTCGTAAAGGCCGTAATGTAGAAGATACTGTCCTCAAACATTTCGAGACGGTCATTATTGAAGACAGGATTGACGTTTTATACGCCCCTCTTCATGTGAATGGCAACCATTGGATAGCCATTGCTCTTGATTTCCATCGTGGAGAGGTATTCTATGGTTTGTACATTAGTTTGTGGGTTTTTCAATCGATTTGCTAACAGATTTGAATGTTGCTAGGTGACTCTCTCGGTAAATCTCGCCCTTTCACCTTTCTACAAAAGGTGGACCTATGGCTACGCAAGCGTTTCAACTGTAAATTCGCTGATAAGGGTTTTTTGATTGAGTGTGGAGTCCAGTGTGATTCATTCAGCTGTGGTATCTGTGTAGCTAATGCTATTTCGCATGCAGTTTTCGGTGATACTCTGTGGTGTCCTGATCTTGCATTAGTGCACCGTATGCAGTGGTTCATTGATCTATGTGCTGACTGTCCCAGTGTTGCTGCGATGAATTCTGGTTCTCCTTCAATGTCTAATCTTCTTCCACTCACTAGTCCCCTTCCTACCCAGTCTGATAGTACACATTTGGGTCTTGCAGATCTTCTAAACCCAATTGCTTCCATACTGTCCTCTAACTACGAGGCTGGTGAAGTGTCAGACTCCGACTGCGATGCTGATTCCGAAACAGCATATGGTTCCAGTGAGGATGATTTGGCTGTCACCGGTGATGGCCAGCAACACAATATATCAGTCTCTGCGACTCCTATTGTCTCTCAACATAGCTCATGGAATAATTCTCCAGTCTCTTTGACTCTATCTCCCTTTGATTCACGCGACACATCTCCAATCCCTTTGCTTCCATCCGATGTTAAAATGCGATCTCCCTCTCCCTTAAGTCAATCGCACACGTCCTCTACACTTAAACATGATCGGAGCAGCAGTGCCGAGATTGAGCAGGAGAAGTCAAAGTTTCAGAAAGGAGAAAGCCGATCTGCAGTCTATTCTTCGAAAGTCCGTCAGTCACAAAGGGATGGTACGTTTGTGTTAGATCAGGTGCGGTATACAGAGTGGAAAAATGGACTTCGCGGGTTGGATTCTGCAGTAGAGTACAGAGATAATGCTGTTGATTTTCGGCATTCCACATGTGGGAGATGGTATAAGGCAAAACAAGCTTATGACCTCACGCGTGCTCGTGCTCATATCAAGAACTGCTCATCGAAGTCAACAAAATCGAAGGCAAAATTGGCTGCCATCAACAGCCATAAAGTTACCAATTTCTTCTCGTCAAAATCCTCAAATACTCCCTTAGTGGGGACTGGATTGCTGTCCAAAAAGACAATGTCTAAGTACGTGGTTGATTTCTTATTGGTTCTCTTACCTCATAATGAACATGGTTATAGTGATTCAGCCCGTAAATCTGTGGCAGAGGTGAACACACCAAAGATGGTGGCTTGTTGTGGACTTACTGCAGCATATGATCCTCGGATCGAACATTATCTCGAATGCACAGGATACCCAGGTGGGGGTGGAAGAAGTGTTACGGAAATTTCAAAGGAGCTATATTGTCAGCCCTTTTCAGCCCTCGAAGAATCTCAACGCAGGCAGGTAATAATTACCCAGGAGTTGTCACATACTTGGGTGAACAAGCATCATCTTACTCCGCCTACAATCTATTCACATGCCTGTACCAAAGAAATTGAAGATACCTCCCCTCAACCTCTTCTTCCATGCATTGAATGTCGTGCAATCTATAAGTCTCGCATTTTCAAGAATGCAATTCGCCGCCCAAAGCCTCTTGACAAAAATTTCATTCATACTAATCACCGATATCAACCAGCCTTTCTTGGAAAAATCTATGCGCGAAGTATCAGTGTGAGAGAGCTTTTGGAGGAGAAGTCCAAAAACACACCTTTTGTTCGATATGCTTTGGGTGTACTTCAGGGGAAGTATGATGATGAGGTTTTTGAGGGGTTGACCCAAGCAATCCTGACGAAGTACGATAAGGAAGAACGGGGTGTGGGCATGCAAAACTTCAAGTATTCACCTGCCTATGAGGACTTCGTGAATATTATCAGAATCACCAGTCCAGCTGCATACCGCACTTTCAAAGAATGGTTCCCTGCAAAGTCATTTGAAAGCTTTCGGTAAGTGCCATATCATTATCTTATATTATTCAGTACTTCGGAATAACAATGTTTTAGACAGAAAGAAGCTAGGAAGCCAAAATTCCCTATGGAAATCTGTGACCGTACATTTGAATTGGCAGCAACACATCTTAAAAGCTTGGGTTATAAGGGACCTGTAAGCGTCTGTTGCGATGATGCGAAACTCTTTGCAAGCCTTCGTCTTTACTGGGATCCTGAAAAGAAAAAACATTTCCTCATCGGGGGAAGTAATGGCCCAGTAGAAGTCAACGATCCTGAATCTGTTGACCTTGCTATGAAGGAAGCAACGATACAGAAGGCTACAAAGGTGAGCCAACACTAAAGAATATATTTCCACATACTAAAACTTGATACTGTATCGATAGATCCGAATTTGGTGTATGACTGTTCAAGCGCCATGGTCTACACCCATTGTTCTTCATGCCATGCCCCTTGGTACCGGACTCACAGCTGAAAAGCTTGAGCCATACACCCAGGAGCTAATACGCGGGCTTATTGCATGGAAAATCCAGGTTGTCTCTTATGCCTGTGATGGTACAGAGATCGAACAGAAGATCCAAGCACTACTTGTGGAGCATGGTGATTCTCGGATTGAGCACATCATCCCTCCACCCAAAAGCTCTGGGGAAGAGCTTAAGATCATTATCCCTGTTTTCGACAATCAACCAGTTGCTATGATCCAAGACTCTAAACATGCACTGAAGACGTTCCGCAACAATCTTTACTCAGGTGCTCGACTGCTTGTTCTAGGAAATCATACTGCATTTTATGCACAAGCTCACAAACTTGCTCATGATCCCGGTACACCACTGTATCGACGGGACGTTGAGAAACTTGATTGCCAGGATGAAAATGCAGCTACTCGCCTATTTTCTGCTCATACACTTCAGTTCCTTGCTGATCAAAATCCCGAATGGGCAGGAATCATCATTTACTTATTTGTATTTGGTGAGCTCGTAGACGCATACCAGAGCCGTAAAATCAACCACGCTGAACATCTTATTATGGTCCTCCGTGCTTGGTATTTCCTCAATCTGTGGGATGAATTTCTTCAGTGTGCAGGCTACAAGCGGGATCTTTATTTTCTGTCACGACAGTGTTCAGACATTACAAGGATAGTAATTGAGGGATACATCTCCCTAATCTTCATTTACCGCGACCATCTTCCGAAGTTGGAACCTCTCATCCCTCACTTACACTCAAGTGAGACATGTGAACACTGTATCGGAGAGTCTCGGAAGATTGTGAAGGACTTCTGTTATCTGGATTTTCTTTACATGATTCCGAAGCTCCACGTCTCAGTTCGCTCTGCGATTTCACGTGCACAAACAGCAAATGGAAAGGCCAGAGCAAGTGGGTACTGCCATACTTATTTCAATACCTCAGGAATGGATCCACTTGCCCTTGCATCCTTTCCAGATGATGATCAAATCCGGGCAGACCTTGTACCTGTTGCGTTTGATCAAGCTGATCAGCTCATGATTGCTGTAGGCATTCAACCTAGTCGACTTCGGAATATGCGTGCACTGAGACAACGAGGGGTTGCTCAAATTCCCTCCATTTCAAGCTGGTATCGTTCTGAAACTGATATCCTCTTGACTTCAGAGGATGAACATGATGAACACGGTGTTGGTTCATGGAATATTGATTCTATCAGCGAGGCCGAGGAACTACAGCAGCTCTTAGTACAGAGTCAATTGGACGAACTTCAATGGATGGCAACACAAGCACAACTAGTAAAGATACAAAACCTTGCTTACGCTGCAGTAGCTCTGCAAGTTGATGAGCATATGAAAGTGTAAGTGTCTTAAACTTACAAAGCTGATCCCATCTCACGTTACAACACAGACAAGCATTTACAGACCAAGAGGAGCACAGTGCCGAGTTTGATGAGGAATGTCTAGAGCTTCGACAGTTTCAGGCAGCTGATCTCACCTCTCCATCTATCCGACCGATAATCACTACACCAAGTATCTTTGGGAGACAAGGTGCTTCTGTTACCTCTGCATCTTCATTTGATTATTCTGTCCTCATTGAATTACGCCGTGCGCATCAAACATATCAGGCAGAGCATGGTGTCCGCACAAGCCAGTCAGAATCTACACCAGGCAAAGAGTCCCCACGAGCAAAGATCATCAAAGCGATGCGAAATGCTCTGAAGGAAGCACAGGAACAGGGTTTGACCACAGGTGTTGGCCGGTCATTGAGAACAAAGGCTCTAGGCTCTAAAGAAGAATCTCCAGCTTTGAGTGGCAACGCAGCTAATGTAGTGGCGGCTGCCTCTTCTGTTGACAAAATGGTGAGTTATTCAGGCTTGGTATACAGTGGGAGTAACACATATTCTTGTAGGCAGCTCGAAAGCGCCGTGATATATTCACAAAGGCTAAGCTCAAACGACTACATGACATAGTGGAGGCTCGTGTATCTTCTCTAACACCTCTACGAGTAGGAGACTTCACACTAGTAGCGGCAAACCCGGGAGATATCAACGATATTTTCCTTGCGAAAGGTATGTATGTTGTGTCTGCTTTATTGCTTGGAACTAATATCCAGAAAATAGTCCTAACGTTCTATGCCAAGGGTGGTGGAAAGCATGGAAAACACGATGCCGTTCTTGACAGCAAGTCGAGTATTTCAGCCTTCTCCTACATTGCCGTTCAATTGTTTGAACACTCAGGCAACAACAGATTCACATCCCGGACTGAAGCAGGTTCCCTTCTCGAAACGGTGTCCTATGCTTTGCTGCCATCGATCCACGTTTTGGCACGAGTGCAGCCACCTGATCTCTCAAGTACCTCAGATAATCATACCGAGGTACAACTTGGCCAGGGAGATACGCAGCTTTACATTGATTTGCAGGGGAGTAGAGACAATATTTTCATGGCAATTGCATTGTATAAGAAGCAGTCGAAGAAGGATTCAAAGGAGAATGATGTAGAAGAGTAGTACTGTCATAAAGTATTGTATTTCGCTGAGGAAAACGAAAAAAATCAATTATATGGACCTTGATACCAAATGTTCGGACAAAAACAAAAAAATTTCACTACACCCGGGGGCAGATCCGGACACGGTTTCGGGTCTGTGTACGGACAAATTTCCAAAAATTTTGAAAAATTTGGTATCCAGGTTCCTCGGGATTTTGGGGGGTCCTGGCTCGTAGGCAGGTAACGCACTCGGGAAGGGCACGGTTGATTTTTCAATTTTGATAATTTGTTGCCGGTTTATTGCCGGTCCGTCGAATTTGATATCTCACCATCGACACTTTTATGCATGCAGTAAAAGTATTTTTGTGGCCTTCGAACTCTTCAGTGAATACACAGTCATTTTTCTGCCTTCTAAGTACCTCAGGAATGATAAACTCCTCAGGTAGCACACCCGGGAGAAGGCACAGTGAAACTGATAGCCTATCCTTGCATCATTGCCCATTGAATGACAGTGTCCTCCAGCCTTCAATGCATTTCCCTTTAGGCATTTATTCCAACTATTGATAATGAAAGATGCTGTACCCTATTCTTTACATGAGCTAGAGTATTTGGTACAATAGCTCTCTGTGTTTTTGAACTGTTCATGATCTGTAAAATCTGTATTCTTCAAGTTGACTAAGAGCTCAAAAGTGTCAAGGTTTAACTCAGTAAAGTAACTGAGGTGTTCAAGAGGCATTCCATTGTTGTCTACCTAGGTACTATATAGTATAATGTAATAATGCTGTCTTGTAACTTTACATACAAGGAGAAGTCTCAGGTATGTACAGAATGGACTCGAGCACATGGAGTATCCCTCAACATAAAGCAGCTGACAGCACTATCCACCAGCAGTACTGAAGAATTACTGGGAGCTGGACAGTGCCTCCATTGCTCTTGTGAACATCCAGCTTTTGCAGATGTTATTTAGTCTTAATAGCTATTCAAGTTCTTTGAGCTTGCTTGTTTTTATCAGAAGAAATGCTTATGCTGGAGTTTACCATATGAGCTCTGAGTTCAAGTAACAAGCACTCTGTATCACACCCTAAGTAGGACTGCATGACCCCCATACATTGAGATAGAGGCATGAATTCCTTCAAAAATTGTAAATTGCATCTGCAAAACCTGGGTGTTCGCGAGAGCAAGGGTACTAGCTGGAGAGCGCTGTCCAGCGCTGAAAGCACTCCCAGCAGTTTTTCAGTACTGCTGGGAGCACTTTCCCAGCTGGACAGTGCTGTCAGCTGCTTTCGAGCTCTTAGCCGAAAATACAGGTTTTACAGATGTGAGATAAATTGAGTGGAGACATGAATACTCAAAGGGGGATATTTATCATCCCTGAGGTAACTAGAAGGCAAAAGATGACAGTGTATTTACTTAAGAGTTTGAAGGCCACAAAAATGCTCCTACTGCATGCATAAAAGCATTGAAACTCAAGGTACATCTGCAAAACCTGTTCTTTTGGCTAATTCTCCGAGAGCAGGTGAGAGCACTTCCCAGCAGCCAAAGCACCCAGTGCAAGTTTAAAATTTTGCTCTCGGTACTTTGGGTGCTGGAGAGCACTCTCCAGCCAGTACCCTTGCTCTGGCGAACATACAGGTTTTGCTGATGTATGGTGCGAGAAAGCTGATATTAAATATCTGATGGACTGGCAATAAACCGGCAACAAATTATCAAAATTGAAAAATCAACTGTGCCCTTCCTGAGTGCGTTAAGGCGGGAGGGTCGAGCTTCAATTTTGTTTTTGATCATTTGAAATCTCGGTCCGGCAATTTCTCGTACATAATTCCACTTTTGCCACCACTGTAAATTTAGTTCAGTGGCTTGCCCTGGCATGCCTCAATCCTCTTGTCTACTACAGCAAACACAACATAGACATGTATATTATAGACCTTGTAGATCTATTGATGAATATGGGCTAATGATAACATCTAGAATTCAATCCTCTTTGATGGAAGATACTTTGTCTATCTTTGTTTCTTTTCCCCATATTTACTGTGGTTAGCAGATATCCAGTAAAATGTTGGAAATTACGAGGCTGTAGTTTACGGAAGTATAGTCCTTATATACGCCGCTCCATACAATTTTGATTCCCTTTTATGGTAGTAGTTTTGCCTTATTTGGCCAAATGTAACACTGAGTTGAATTGTATTGATTTCTTGTGACCGGCACGGGATATCACGGGACTGTCACCCTCTGTCACAATTACTTTTTCTCGTCTCATTCAGTTACTCCCTGTTACTCCATAGATAGTTTAAGTAAATTTACTTGTATTTTGCTTTTCTCAAAGAATCAATGTTGGCACCTGAAAGGCCCCCTCGTTTTTTTGATTCCATAATATTTAATTAATATTTAATAACCCACAAGGAAGGAGCCGAGTTTTTGCCATGCACAGTGGTGCAGTGGCCTACAATCGCATGTATTCATATATACTCTGCACATTGAATATGATTTTCTGAGCACAAAAATCCTCAATATACACACTAGAGTCTAGCATATACCATTCAATAACAGGTGCAGAAAAATGATAAGCGACAAAGCAGACATGTCTGCAGATGGACTTTGAAAGCGGGACAAGTCACGGCATCCCGTGATTATTCCGTGCTGGTCACATTAAATGAATGTGACTGAGTACCATATATGGAGAAACTCCTTCTAAGTAAGCAAAGTGAAATAGCATGACTGTTAAGATCATGTACACTGTGTAACCGTGCCAGAGGCCACAAGGTGTCTAAAAGCGGAGGGTCGAATGGGACAGTAGTGAAGTTATTAACAGCACTGCCGTTACACCGTTAGTCCCCAGAGATCGAGAATAGAGAAGGTGAGAACCAGGGGCAGCCAAGTCAGAACAGCGGTAACGCAGACAACGGGGAACGAACCAAAGAACATATAAGTCCCAAGGTCAGAGTAAGGAAGTCTTCAAGGCGACAAGCCTGAAGACTTAAAGGCAAGAGACAAAGATCTAATGATCTAAGTTGGAGAGGAGAATCTAAGTTGATAATTAAACTGAGGACTACAGTATTGTACAGGCAGTATTTATATCTATGGATTGGCGCATCAGGGCGGGGCGCCAGACTAACTACTAGGAGTTATACGTGTAGTACCTACAGGGTAGAGAATAAGACAATAAGGAGAGACTGGAATAAATGGGTATGTGTAGCGAGAAAGAAAAATAAAGAATAGATTACAATAAAGGACAGATCTCGGAATACCGAGTGGCGGAGTGAGGCACTGAGGCATGGACTTGACAATGATGTGACCTACATAAGGACAAGTCTTCCATAAACTACAGCCTCATAATGTACATATGGAATATTCCCCTGTTGGGGAGTACTCTGCATGCCTAAGTATGTACAAGACACATGGCTTTATACTTGGTACTGTACAGTGTAAGACCTGGGTCAGAATAGGTCTTAGGGTAGGTTTTGGGATGAAGAGTTTATGTTGTAACATGCTAGGAGCAGGCTGGAGCTCAAAGGGAGCTACGGAAACCGCGACCGAGGACAGGAATGACCTAGTAGTGGCTGGGATAGAGAGATGTGACCCTTGGAGGGGTTCCTGTAAGGTCCAGGGAGGTCCCTAAGGCATAGATAGAGGAGGTAAATGTACGGAACCTAGTAGAGTTACATAGAAGGAGTTATACTCGCTAGAACGTCAACGTGGGATCGAATAGGTCTCAAGTGTATAAGCTCCTGAGAAGATATACACCCGGGAGGGGAGGTCCCGGGAACTGGGGCTTAGGGGTGGACGTCCTCGAGTGTTGGAGGTGGTAACGGAGAAGCGGCACATAGTTCGATGTAAGGGGTAGCTTCGACATTACCTAGATTGAGATCCCAGAGCTTGTGGAGCAATTGGGGAGCTCGAGGAGGTTTTGGGGAGGTTAGCTCACCAAGGTGTTGGGCATTGGGGAGCTCGGAGACTCACTCGGATTGCTTAGACGTGAAGTAAAAGTGTATATTCGACCGTATAGACGATTGTAGAGGCAGTAGACAAGAGTAGAGAGAAACAGAGGTAGAGAAACAGAGAGTAAAGAGAATTCCGTATAGGTAGCAGGTACAAAGGGACAGGGACTGGACCTATGTAAAGGGTGTGTGTTCAAAATATACCAAGCTGGGGCTTTGGGATGTTGCAGAGCTACTTAAATAGGTACAGGAAGTGAACAAGGGAACATCAGGAGATCTAATGAACATGAGGCAGTAATCGAGATTGATACTTAATGGAGTTTTTCGTAGGGGGTCCTGTATGCGTGCCAGGGGAGGTATGCGTGTCGAGGAAGTCGTCAGGCACTCTTGTAATGGGAAGGTTACAGGGAAGTGACGGTACTGTCTTGGGGGTTTACGGAGCTAGATAA